ACGCCAAACTTCATATCACAGACTGTTACTATACGACGAGTCAGAATAAACAATGTAGCTTCTACGTAAGATTTTACATATTAGGTAGTCACATTATGACACATCTACAATTTAAGAATCATGTCTGTTGTTATAACAGTATTAATAACAAAGTGACCATAACTACACATTGGTAATCCCAACTAAAGAAATACAACCTATCATTATTCCTCATTTTAACTTCAACTTTCTTGATTGATTTTTACTTACCTTAATCTATTATTCTATTATTCCTCTGATTAATGCTAACTTGTATTATCTTATTTTAAAGTTGATCAGTACTCATAATTTACTTGCTTAATCGATACGAACAGCTGGTCACCTATATTAATGATTAGCCACGATGGTGCATTAACAAGCTTCAATAGCAGTTACATGCTTCGGCAAAATAAACTTTTTAAGACATAAAGCTCTAGCATATACGGTTATCTGGACTTAATTCTTGATATTGTGTATTCACTTATCGTTTCACTCTAATTTTAAACTATGGACTATCCTGAAATATCTTTCCTTGCGACCGCTGCCTGCCTATTCTCCAACAACAAAGACAACATTCCAGAAGCTTACGACGAGTTTATACAATAAAGTTTTCACAACTTTAATCTCATTTCGGATGGATCATACAGTGAAAGCTACATAATTATCTGGACTTTTGAATTTGCACTATACGTCGTATTAAGTTTTTACGTTAAATCCATCGGATAACCTGAATACTGAAAATGATCCTGGAGAGTTTAGACATTTCGCCAGATGAATTGCTGTTTTGGTACTTAACATGTATATATTTTCACTTAGACTAGTTGTACATATTTTATACGAAGCACTCCCAAAACGCTTCTAGCATAATTTAACAGCTTTTTACGACAATATACTATTGTTGAGAATCTTGTTATTTACAGGCGAGGCCTATTAAATTCAGAAATTATTTGTCACTTGGTTCTAATAACCTTTGCTACATATTTATAAATACCACTAGGCTAATAACAGCAGCTTCTCATGAAAAGTTTATTAGTCGTCATATTCCTAACTGAAGTTCCATAAATCGTTTCAATTCGGCCAAGTTTTTTCTTGATTTTTCTGTTCCTCATCAACCTACACGTTAACCTGGCTTATACATGCATTGTATTATGTCATCGGTGCTACTTTAATTTTGTTGTTGCCTCTGGCATGCAGTGTGACAATTGCAAAGGTTGGTCCCATAGATCGTATAGTAACTGCCTATAAAAAGCTTAGAAAGTCGAATCTTAGGTAGGTATATGACAAATGCTACATGTATTTTGAGGTTTTGCTGAACAACATAATCATTCTCTTGACAGGTCTGTAGAACAAGTCGTCAAGCATGAAAAAAGGCAGTCATATGAAGAGTAAACAAGCAAAGACGAGCAGTGAAGACAGAAAGGGGGACTACGACAACGCTAGTATCGACAGGACATGCAATGACACTAGTGTGCATTCTGAAGCTCAGCAACATCATAACGTCGACGGTCTTAGACTTCCTCAGCAAACTAGGGTCTCCCAGCATAGGATCCTTAAACGCGACGGTGGTCCCCAGAAACTCTGTAAGCGATTGAACCCCTGTCAACAAAGTTCAAAAGGACCGGATTCCACCGTCTTATAAACTGAACATTCAAGGTATTGTAAAGAAATCAACTGGTGATACATCAGTACGGTCTACCTCCAAGGCCACACAGACGATCATTAAAAAGCACAGGAGTCTGAAACGTGCTTTAACCACCAAAAAGCAAGGTCCTCAACCTAAACGTGTCAGGAAACCTAAATAAACAATCATGGTTAGCGATGATTCTCTCATAATCATGAACCTTAGAGTCAGCATTAACCTTCATCTTAGCCTGCAGGGTAAAAATGAGCGGATGCTGTGGAAAGAGCTTAGAACGAAGCTTGAACGTCTCAAAATAGGGCTGTAGTAACGTACTTTTGTGACGAGAACGCGATCAGTGTAATGGAAACAATTATTACTGTAACAAATCGTACCAGCGATTGCTTTGCTGTACTTGTTTGGTTAACTGTGCCAAAAACACTTTTTCTTCCATCGCCTGGGACCTAGCACGAACTTGCTTACTCTGGGCAGTTCCTCTCGTAAACTTTGGCACGTCTCGGTATTCTTTCGATACCACGAGATCGCCAACAAATATATCTTATTGCATCCGTCAACTGCCTTCTGGCTTTTGGCCTACCGAGGCATCCAAGTCGATATCCTGGCACGTAATCTTCATGTAGTGGTGATCATAGTCAATTGCAACTCGACGACATCTACAGGGTCGTTGTAGATCACACGGCTCACTCGGGAAAACTACTCCAAGCACCAAAATCACCCAAGACTACTTCGTGCAACACTCACTAATACTACCGACATTGAGGATGCCTTACTGGCCAGTGATTTACCAAGATCATACGGGGATGTATGAGTACTGCCTTATATACCGTATTCTGAGCGCAATAAACAGGACGAACAAGTTCACGCATTTCAAATGGCAAGCATAAACTGCTCGTATATGAACGCCGCGAGTTTACTGAACGAAATGGATGAGCTGTGAGAACTCAGTTATGCTAATAATGTTCATCTGATAAGAAAATCTAACACTTGAATATCTTATCAGTTAAATGACCAGGAGCTGGTAATGCTTGGGATGTCTTTGTTTCGCAATGAAATAAAAACAGGAAGTTGGGGCGGAGTAGACTTATACTTGCGATCTCGCCTTGAAGTACATAAAGTGCGCAACCAAGAGATTATCAATCTTAATGAATCCGGAGGATTGTCTACCATCCGAAGGTGTCTAGTTGGAGTCATCGACAGGAAGTCCACTGATGAGATCGAGTACGACAATCGTATTCTGGAAGGATTATCCCGCTTCACGTGTCTCGGATTCACTCATATCCTGATTTTAGGGGACTTCGATTTTCCTAAAGCCAATCTCGCGGAACATATGTGTTGAAAATTATTGCCCGGCTTTTTAACACGTAATTTATTCATCAATCGATGTACGACTTATCCAATCTTAGCACAGTGACAAACTAATGACGTTCGATCGGTATGAGCAGAATAACAGTTTATTGGTCGTTTGTCCGCCTAGCCCTTCCAGTTGAGTCCAGTACATCAATAAAGACTTCTGCTATGCGAATCATACTTGATTTATATTTCGACCAAACATACCGTAACGCACCATAAAATAGGAAATACAATTTATACACAATAAAGTCAAGAAGTGACTGTGAACGTGGGAGACAGCGAATAAAAAATTAAATATAATCTAGGAACAGTAAATCGTATCATAATAATCTATGGGTCAAAATGAAGCCTATGATAAGAGAAATATAGATATACACAACCTAGTTACTGAACAGTTATACGATAGAAATAAATAAGTATGTATATATAATATTAGTCCATTCATAGATCTCAGAAGTTACTCGTGGCATAATCTTCACTAGGTTATAAAATACTTAATTGACAACCCCTCAACTCTGGCCGACCTGGGGATAAGGGGTTAAGCTGTTTTTGGCTTTAGTTTTATCTACAAAACTGATCTAAGACACCCTACCGACAAAAGGTGCTGGAGTTTCAAACGGTTGGACGTATCAGCTTTACAGGACAATCTACATCAGGTGGACTAGAAACTTCACTCTAAACATGATGTGTATACTCATTGGAATTTCTAACTGCACACGACATTATGTGCTAAAGCAGTCTGTTTCACAACATGTTCTCCAAATTCTACAAGCAACCTACAGTCATCAAAAACCTGACTCTTCGTTTGCCAAGCAACGAAAATCAATAATGACCGCAATACAAAAGAATCAGTAACGACGGCGCATATAGGAAATATAAACAACTAAGGAACATCCGCAAAAAGTCAATAAAATAAGACAGACTTCAGCACCAGATAAAAGTAGTCGATGAATTTGTCTCAAACCCGAAAAGTTAATCCCGTCATGCAGCCTCTCCGATAAGCCAAAACTAGAGTTTCCCAACTGCTAGGTAGTAATGGCCCAACAAACAACAAACGGTTGCGCCACTAAACTTCTGGCCTAACATCACTCCCAGACATTTCAACCGACAAGCACCAATATTTTCAATAGAACTTCAAATAAATTGAGATTAAGCTTAAGTAGATGTTTGAGCGGATGCCCAGAAGTGTTTAGGATTTCGTAGGCCATTAGAAAGTTACCTCTAAGACGCCTGTACTCTAACGGGTAAAGGTTGAGTGATTTGAGAGGCTCTTCATAAGGCTTGAATTTGAGTCCCCAAACTGATCTAGTGGTTCATCATTGGATACGTTCCAGAGTATCCTTATCCTTTTGGAGTGAGGGAGGAAATACTATGTTACTGTAATCTGAATGAGGGCGAATAAAACTGTTAAAGGTTATGTGGAAAGTTCTACCGTCAAACTGGCCGCAAGTGCGCCTCAATGTTACCAGTTCAAGGTTTGCTTGAAAGGCGTTTTTGTCACGGTTAGCGTACGAATTCAGGTCGTAGGATACCAACACTCCTAAATCTTTTTCGACTTGTGATAATTTTAAAGAGGAGTCTCCTAAGTTGTAACTGTAGTCTTCGGCATGCCACAGATGGACTACTTTACACTTTGAAGTGTTGAAGTTAAATCAGTTGTCATCTGCCCAGCTTTGAATTCGAGTCAGATACTTGTGAAGTGTTGGTTTGTCCTCTTGGTTGCATACTTCTACTGAACTCTGAGGGACCCCACTAGGATATTCCATATCCTGAGAGAGGTAGTAAGTTTATCACCGACCTTAAAATTTTGGTGCAGTCGAGTGGCCAGACCAGCGCACACTGGACATAAAAAGATAACTGTAACCATACTGATACCACAGTTGGTTTATACAAGCTTGTAATGAAGACATTGGATATTTGTGTTGTTTCACCTTGAACTTCGAAGGTCAAGTATCCCGGTTTATCAATTTTTGGGACTTGCTTGTAACATTAGCAACACAGTAAGATAGAAGTGACCTTTCATTTGAAATTATTGATTAATTGTTCGTTTGGATCAATGCGTTTATTTGGGTAGTTGCAGTTAATTAGAAGCTAATTGAGCTGATAGTATACACGCATATCATCGGAGGATTTACTCCAACGGCAATTACAGCCAACTGGTTGAGTTGCTCATAACATACCCGTGACTTGTTAACGTTGGATTTCTGTTCACTCTGACCTCGAAGTATTTTAAAAAAAATAGTGCAGTCCTAATTTACTTTAGCTAAGACAATGCCATAAACTGAGCACCAAGACTGCAAGAAACGTTCTAATTCTCAGATTTAAGTCTAACTATCTTACCATCTTATTTTTACTTAGTCACGCCTGTGACTGCACATGGAGAACCATAGGTCACCAACCGGCATTCTCCATCCAACTTTGTACTGGGCAATCTTTCCCAGTTCTTTTCACTTGCTATTCATCCTTTCAATGTCTGCTTCCGATTCCGGACTCAGTGAACGATATGATCTCCATCCATTTCGCTTCCATTCAGGATTACAAGTTATCACTTGTCTGGTGATGCATTTTGATGATTTCCGAAATGTGTGTTCTATCCACTTCCAACGTATTTTCCTAATTTCCTCTTCAAATGGAAGCTGGTTTGTTCTCGCCATATTAGATTGTTTCTGTTGATATCCGATCAACAAACATTGAGAATCATGCATAGACAATTGTCTATAAATGCTTGTACATGTTTGATCATGGTTGTAGCAGTTCTCCAAGTCTCAGTTACCTTTGCTTTGCCAATCCTTGCATTTACATTTCCGTCGGACTCTTCTTGTAATAGTTTTCCGAATTCCTTCTCCGTACAATGACACATGCGAAACTAATGGGTAATTGTATAATACCTGATTATTAAAAAGTGGCAAATTCTGCACTTATTCAAAACTGAATAGTTTTGAGCCAGGTCACTATTACTAACTGGTGTCCCATTCGGCATTTTCAATACTACGGAGGATTCCAACCAGTAGTTCGGGATTTCGTGGATAGATGGCACATCGTAGTCTAGATACTATAAAATGTTTCCCGATTCTGTCGCGCTCCAGTCAACACCACTAATTAGACTGGTTGGTAATTAAGCCCCTAAAACATCCTCCACCCGGTTCAACCTTCATATCCATCCCAATAACTTTGATTTCGTAGTTGTAAAGCGGCAAAGATAGAAAATGCTAAACAAACCTTTTTCCTTGCTTATATTTCATCAACTGCTACCTCAACTAATAAAGTCTTCAGTAATAAGGATAGTAGGTTGATGAACCTGTGTTAATCCTGATAGATTTCCTTCCAGTGAAGGTCCAGCTTCTTTTTGAAAATGTTCACTGATGGTGCTGATGCCACATGTTCTGGTAAAGCGTTCCAGTCATTGACCACTCGATGAGAAGAACGAGACCCCACCTTTAGTTTATTAGATCGCGGTTTCAGAACCTTCTTGCCATGACCTCGGAGATTATTAGTGCTGGAGGGAGCAAAAAGATAAGACATATTAACACCCAGATCATAATTAAAGATACGAAATGCCAGTATAAGGTCACCTCGCGTCCTACTATCAGATAAGGGGAAAAGGTTTAGACGTTTTAAACGCTCATCGTAAGGGAGTTTATAAAGACCATTTACTAATTTTGTCCCTACACGCTGGACACGCTCAAGCGATTTAGTAACCTTTATCAAACAAGGGCTGGCTGCTTGGATACAGTATTCTAAGTGTGGCCTTGCATAGGTGGGATATAAAATTCGAAACATATCCTCGTCGAAGCATTTAAATGCTCTGCGAAGCGACCATAGCACGCGATAGCCTTTGGGAGCAACCGCATTGCAGTGCGTAGTAGTTTTCAAATCGTGACTTATAATTACTCCTAAGTCTTTGTGCTCTTGAACGCGTGGCATAGATGTACCATTAATGGTATAGTGATAACTAATATCGTGCCCCATGTGCATGAATACGCTCTTCCTGGAATTAATTTCCAGGCCCCAATCATGAGCCCACCTAACTAACTCGTCTAAATCTGCTTGCAGATAACAACGATCAGTCTCATTTCTTATTGTTCTTAAAATTTTAACATCATCCGCAAACAATAAAGTGTGATACTTCAATTGTACATTATTCAGTGAGGTGTCGACATGAAGGCGGAGAATAGTTTTAGGTCACTGCGATTACATTAGCTTAGAATGCATATGGTAATATACTGCTAGTCGTAAATTTTTCTCATATTTTTACGTCAATCGTTATTATGCACCATATACTATCCATTTCAGTCTCAGTCAAAAGTAATGTTAAGTTTGTCAAATATGTTCGTCGTCCAAAGTTACCAGATCATATTAGTACACTAATATGAATACCAAAATAGTGGTAGTATCAGGGCTAGTAAAAAGAAAATAGTATGATTTAAGAATGAATTAATTCGTGGAACAAAAGCTACCGACCTAAGATCTAAGGGAAAACAAAGAGTGAATTCATTTACACTATTTCATTTGATTCTGAGACATCATCTAACTTCTCTAACTATTGGTCAAGGTAATCGTATGGACCCCAGCTGTTCAGTATACATCTACTGACATGGCTCAGTTTATCCGCCTGTGATTTTGTGGACTAATGCATCGTTCTAGTTTGGCCACCCATAGCTTTCTCCCTACTTATTCCTACTCTAGTCAACATCACGCACAATGTATCCCATTCTATGAAGACAACCTTTTCAAACGACCTACCATCTTTGTCTAGCACTCTACACGTAGCCTTAACATTCCTTACAGGGCAGACTGTTGATTTACAAACTTGCCTTGCCACTGGCAAACGAACACTACGCCTACATCACAAGTGACTGGAATTGGCAAAAACTTCTTTTTTGAATCCATCCTAAGATTTTGTCGAAGGCTATCCATTTAGATGTTTCTTTCTCTTCAAATACATTATTGAATACCAATAACGATTTTTTGCTGCTAAGCATTAATCAATAAAGCTTATCCTTGTTGTACATATTTGTCCTATCTTTGTATGCTTTAGCATTCTTTCTCTCAACAATGAGGCTTAGACGTGTACGAAGTTTGTGTATCATTTTGTTATGCACTATTTTTGCGCTCTACATCACAATGCAATATTATGATGAATCAAGAGAGAAAAATCTGTTGACGCTACAGAGTACAATAAAAGATTTCCGTGAAAAACCACAAGGTGTATTATCAGTGCCTTGGCTCGCCAATATGTCAGCTGGTCAACAATGGTTAGTCATGTTTACTTATTTGTTGTGTTTAGTGATGAAGGCTTGAAACTTTTGTATTCATTTGCTGTTATTATTACCTCTAAAGTATTTGGTTTAATTGTGTAGCTTTTGTTGCCTTTCTATGCAAGATAGTCAAAACCTACTTTATGTATGAGGACCTTTTATTTATTAAATTAGTTAATCCTGATCTTTTTTTCGTCATATTTTTACTGACTTCCTTTTTTGAGTGGCCTCTGATCACGTGGTCAACAATGAGCTCTAACTGGATAATTCAGAATGATAATGAAAACTTTGCAGTTAAACCCTCTAGCTAAGAGAACTCTAGGTTGTGTATAGTATCAAATTAATCAAACAGAATACCTGGTATATTTATGAATGTTAGTTAGTAGCTCGCAGATCCCAGCCAGGTAGTCTCCACCTACCAACATGACTCAGTCCACTTGTCAGTGACTTCATGGATTTATGCCATGTTTTCGTCTGGACGCCCCTATCGTTCTTCCAATCTATTCCCACACCATAAAACATCGTAAATCGGGGCAGTCTGTGTTTGGGAATACGTAACATCTCTTAGCTATCTTAACTGATGTAGTTTTGCTACTACACCAATCGACTTGCCATCCTTATCTAGTACCCGTTTCCTAACAACTGTATTACTTACTCAGCGGTCCCAGGATATACGAGCAATGCTTTGAAGACACCTCTGATCGAATACTAATAATTTACGAATGTCCTCTACTCTTACCGGCCCGTTGTCCCTCTTCAGTCGATCAGGGATCTCCAAACAAACTTTTCTACGACTTTCTTTTTAGTTGTCGCCAAATGCTATTCATGGTCTTGATTCCCACCTCTAATTCCCGGTGGCATGTGTTCTTTGGTCTTCCTCTTTTCTTCTTGCCTTGAGGATCAAAAGTTAAAGCTTTCTTTATAATGCAGTTTGATGCTTCCCGCATATTTTATCCTTTCCATCTTCAGTGTCTTTTCCCAATTTCTTTACCAACTGATAGCTAGTGTTCTTATTCTCTGAAGAAGTGGCTTACACTGAGTCACAAAACGTCAAAAATTTAAATATTTAATTTTTCTACTCATTGAGATATTAAAAATGTATTATTTTTATTGATATCCTGTTCGCTCTCTGTCACAACTGGTTGTTGCTAATGGTTTCTGGCCAACAAATATGGAGTATCTTGCTTAAAGAGCTGTTTGTCAATACCTCTACTTTTTTGGTGATGGTCGTAATATTTCTCTAAGTCCCACCTGCGTACATGAGAGCTGCTTTAACGTTTGTATTGAAAATTCCGAATTTGGCACCGTGACAGTTGTTTAGAGCTTCAGATTTTCTTCAGTTGTAGGAATGCTCCCCTTGCTTTGTCGACTCGTGCCTTTACATGTGCATCAGATCGTCTTCATTTACTGCATTATTTGTTATCATTATACACCATCAATACATTATAAAATATTGAGATCAAAGTTTTCAATCTCCATTGTACTTCAAAGTGTTACAGATTAATTTGGAAAATCTTCGTACTAGATTCCATGTTTTTATCGGACTGTTGGGTGTCACGGGTTCAGAGCTTACAGGAGACATCATTTTCCTAAAGGTTACAGGTGGGCCCTGCTTACAAGTGTTAACTAGGACGAAACCAAAATCCAAGTGTTTCTTGTCAATTAACCTCCAATCACCTAATATTTCATCATAGTATTTGAGGTTGCTAGTCCCTAAGGTTAGTAAAATTGTTCACTACAAATTAATTGGTAGGATTCGTAACAAATATGACTAATCAGTGATCAATTCAAGTTGTTGTTAATATTTCATGTAAGATGGTTGTTTTGAATTATCATAATCATGGAACAAAAGTGCGAGTATACTCTTTTATGAATTTATTTTCTGTTACTCTATAAAATTAATGAAAATGTCTGAAAAATGCTTATTGGAGATTGAGACAAATATTTATTTCTTCTGAATGATATACGGTAAGATTTTTCACTTTACTACTATAGGATAAGTGAAAGTCACATTTCTAAAGTAGGTTACAATTTTCAGGTGATAATAGCAAGTTAATATACCGATTTATTGCTACTCTAGGCACTCTTTGTACTGACCAGTTAGAAATGGATGAAGAGTTCGTGTATTTAGGTACTTGTGTGAGTGCCGATGGTGAGACGGTTGAAATAAACTTTCATGTAGTGAAATCCAGATTGGCTTATGCCAATCTGGGCCATCTTTGGTGTCGTTCTATTGTTAGTCTGGTTGTAAAAGATCGAGTTTACAGCTTGTCGGTGAGAACAGTTCTATTCTGCTTGTATGGCCTGGATTCTCTGAAATAAAGTTAGATGTTCACTAACTTTCTGTATTTGTTGATCGTCCTCAAAGTGTTATTCAAATCCGGAGTCAATACCATATTGGTTTAGCTATGATTTGGCAATCTGTATTCAAGGGCAATGACGATGGCTCAACCGGTATCACCATCTTGAAACGCCAACTTTGTCGGCTTGGATACTTGTGACAAAGATCATCCCAGTGACTTCCACGTCTCACATTATTTGATGAAGCTGAAACTTGGTGGAAAAGAAGAATAGCTGGTCAGTTTATAGCGTGGTATGAAAGAAAGTTGTATAAGACTAGTGTGTCAGATCATTGCAACTCCGCCGTTATGGTCCGTAAGATGATACGATTCGATAGCTCAAGACGTCCTGTGGTTCCAAACAGAAGTCGGTAACGACCCTGCTGCAGTTTTCTTTCGCATTTTTTTTATAAAAGTGAAATTTTTCTCAACTGAAAGAATTCTTCTTGATTAAACATTTCTCTTCGTAACTGAACTGTTTCTCCCACTATCAACCGTTCTCGTTCACTTATTGTCTATAATCTTTTAATTGTGCAAACCCAAGGTCGGAGGGAGAAGTCGTACTGCTGAATGTACAGAAGTGTGACGGCAGTAAGGTGTTTAACCTAGCCCAACCGTTGTTGCTACCTTGACGTGGTGTCGGGCTTGCCTATCGTGATGAAGCAATCGAGCTGTGCTGGCTGGAACAATCGTTCCTCGAGGTCCTACTATGCCAGACAGGTCGGTTGAAGAGCAGTGAGACTAAAAGCAGCAAACCCAAGGTCCGATGGCAAAGTCGTACTGCCGACTGTACAGAGGTGTGACGGCAGTAAGGTGTTTCCTTCAGACAACCAGCATGACAGCGATGCTGCCTTCCCACAAGGAGGGGTGGGGTTAGAAAAGGTCGACCCTAAAAATGCACACCTCGCCCTATCCCACGGATATCCGTCTCCGGCGGTAAGGTTTTTTTGAAGAACGGAGCTAACACAAAAACTACCCACAAAAAGGTCGTGTTCGACCGACCTCAAGCAGTTGTCCCTTGGGCACTGCGGTCACGCTCTCAGATCATTAAGACCACTTCTAACCCAATTTCCTTTTCAGGTACCCCCAGAAGAACCCTTCCACGGTGTGGGCAACCGGGAAGTGATAACTGCCCTCATACCTCTAACAACACTCAAGACCACTGTATTCATAATCAATCTCCTTCAATTCCTACTATTCCTTCTACCTTGACTTTTAACACTAAACTTCCTGTTCCGGTTTCCTCCTCAAGTGTCACCATGGCCAACGATTCTAGTGCGCGAAACGCTGTCCCAGGTCTACTAAAACCTCTCTCCAAACTACACATTGGAGCCTTCAACGTACGTACCCTATGCCAAATCGGTCAACAGGCCTCCTTAGCTAAAACCCTAGAATCTCGTACCATTGATGTATGCTGTGTCTCCGAAACACGCATACAGGATCCCAGTGTGGTTATTCACTTGACCTCACCTCGCCAAAATGGACAGCAAACGAAATACACCCTCCGTGTATCTGGCGACCCGTTGGCTAGTTCTCGCGGACTTGCAGGTGTAGGCATAGCACTAAGTACAAGGGCAGAACAGGCACTATTAGAATGGGTCCCCGTTAACAGTCGCCTGTGTGCTGTCCGGCTAAATGGCTCCGTAAGAACTCGGAAGGATAGGGACACACGTCGTTGCCTTTTCGTCGTTTCTGCCTACGCTCCCACCGACTGCAGCCATGATGAAGTGAAAGATGACTTTTACAGAAAGCTCTCTGAGCTTCTTCAGAAAGCTAAGCGCTCAGACATAGTAGTCGTAGCGGGTGACTTTAATGCTTAGGTAGGCAGCTTAAATCAAACAGAAAGACATTTAGGTGGGTGTTTTAGTATTCCGGCTCAACGAACCGATAATGGTGATCGTCTGTTACAACTATGCTCAGACAATCGTTTATTTCTAGCAAGCACTAATTTTAAGCATAAGGAGAGACATCGCCTAACATGGCGACCACCTGTTGCTGGAAATAACACTCTCGTCGACTGAATTTACAGGAATTGATCTCCTACCAGGGGGACCACTAAGCGACTTAGAATACGCAGATGACATAGTCCTGTTTGGTGAAGACGCTGTCAAAATGCAGAGTCTTCTGTTGGAACTCGGTAATAATGCCAGGATGTTTGGGATGCGATTCTCCCCATCCAAATGTAAATTGTTACTCCAGGACTGGCCTGCGTCAACACCCGAACTAAGGATAGGGAGTGAAGTAGTCGAACGCGTGGACAACTTCACTTATCTTGGAAGTCTGATCAGCCCTAATGGGTTGGTGTCTGACGAAATCTCAGCACGGATTCAAAAAGCTCGTTTGGCTTTCGCCAACTTACGTCACCTATGGCGAAGACGAGATATCCGTCTATCAATTAAAAGACGAGTATACTGCGCATCAGTTCGCTCTGTTCTACTTTACGGTTGTGAAACATGGCCATTAAGAGTAGAAGATACTCGTAGGTTACTAGTATTTGACCACAGATGCCTTAGAAATATTGCTCGCATCTGCTGGGATCACCGGGTAAGTAATAGTGAGGTTAGACGCTGGGTATTAGGGAACGATGGTAAATCAGTTGATAAGGTGATGAATCTTCATCGACTGAGATGGTTGGGTCATGTGTTACGTATGCCTGAACGCCGATTACCACGACGCGCTGTGATAACTAGTACTGGGGATTGTTGGAAGAGAGTTAGGGGCGGCCAAAACAAAACGTGGCATCAGTGCTTGAAGTCACTAACTTCTAGTCTGAGCCATGTCGGTAGATGCAGACTACCTGGTTGGGGTCCGCGTGACTATCGTAACCAGTGGTTGGAGACTCTAGGTCACATGGCTCAGAATCGATCACAATGGCGTAGGTGTATACACTCTTTATCTTCCTTTAAACCTTGAGACTAAAATTGCTTCATATCTCCCTTCCTGTACTATATCCTTATATACAACCTATAATTTATATACTACTACTACCACCACTAAATTAATTAATTCTATGAATCAGGTGTTCATCTTGTTGTGCTAACGAGGTATGGCAACTTGGACCGATGCATAAATGTGCCTGGTCCTACGTTGTAGCTGACTGACTGACTGACTGTTTCCCTTAGACTACCAGCATAGCAGCGATGCTGCCTTCCCACAAGGAGGGGTGGGGTTAGAAAAGGTGGACTCTAAAAATGCACCCCTTGCCTTATCCTATGAATTTCCGTCTCCGGCTATAAGGTCCCAAAAAGTACGGAGCTAACACAGAAATTACCCGCATAAAGGTTGTGTTTGGCCGACCTCAAGCAGTTGTCCCTCGGGCATTGTGGTCACGCTCTTAAGTCACTAACCCTATTCCCCTTTCAGGTACCTCTAGAAGAACTCTTCCACAGTGTAGGAAACCAGGAATTGAAAGCCACCCTCATACCTCTAACAACACTTAATTCAACTGTGTTAAAAGCATGTCAACTACTGTAGGGTATGCTGCAAAACATTGCCTATACGTGATAGGAGTTTCATTTTTTCTTGATAGATGTATAAAGAAAATGGTTTGCTAGTTAGATGTAACCAGATTCTACGTATTATAGTACAAATTCTACAGCCATTCTTGATAACTAACCCCTGTTTAGTATGAGTGTGGCCTGCAGATAGACAGTGTAACTTAAAACCAAATGCACGAATTTGTAATTATTTACTGATTTATAGTGACTTTTTAAAAATTACTTACTCTAACAAGGGGGAAACTCATCTTTAACCTCATTACTGTTGAATAAATACTTGTGATCATTTCGGTGTATAAGTATCGTATTGGATGGTTAAATGATTTCACAACCAAGCCCTATAGTTTCAATAGAATGGTTATTGGAAGATCAAATAGGACACATTAACTAATTGGTTTACATTAAGTTTAACATGAACTTATCAAAGTTGTCAACGAAAAAATTTGTCTTAAAATGATTCAAATTCACTAAAAACTTGATTGTACACGGTCTATTCAATAAGTATGAATGTTGATTTGTAAGAATCTAAGCTATACTACATGCAATGCACTAAACTTGATTGTTGTGTAATATATATATATATATATATATATATATATATATATGTATATATGTGTATATATCTTACGCTCGGCAGCCATGAACAGCATCATTATCACTAATTTTTTACATGGTTGTGTTATAACTTGTGGCGGAGTGTATGCCCTGTTAGCGTATGACGTGATAAGACCGCTAATCGGAGAGCAGCGAATTATTGATTGGAACAGTGACATCCGGAAATCATACTAGCAGTCTAGAGTACTTGTCTGTCCTGCTTCTGCCTAGCCCAGCCAGTTAAGTCCAAAACAGCCTCTGCGGTATGAATCATTATATTTCAAACATACTGAGTTTATATACCAATCAAACTGACCATATCGTACCATAAAGTAAAAAATAACACGTGTACAAGATTTAGCCAAATGTGATTGTGAATATGGGAGGCAGTAATAAATAGACTAGGGATAACTCGAGTATGGTAAATCGTATAATAATGGTATATAGGTCAAAATAAAGCTCATAATAAGGGTAACATGGATATGAATAGTTTAGTTATTTAGCAATTATATGATAAAAATATATGCATAATATTTTTTCATAAATAGATCCCAAAGTTACCATTCATTATCCTTATCCGGGGCATAACGCACCTCCCCTTTTTTGAAAAGATCCGTAGTTGATACCCGGATTTTAAATTTCCCGAATAGATTGCTCAGTAAATACGCGAAGCTCAATTAGCTGTGACCTTAACCAAATAGAACGAAATGTATTCTCTAGACCTTGTCTGTCAAGTCTTCTTGTTTCTTGAATACAAAATGTTCGTGTACAGTCTATATTAGGGCGATATGGTGATGATAGGACGTGAAATGTGTTAAATTATCACTCATTTCCCACATAAGTTTTTTGTAAGGCTTATTTATTTACTCATTATTGTTTGAAATTACTTTTGGCTTGGGAAAAAATGCGTCTACCTTTCTTTTCGTTAATGTGAACTAATGAAATAAAGGTATACTGATAAGAAAAGACCGGATTCTCGAGATATTCCTTTCCAATTATCTACCACTAAGTTGAAGGCAACAATTGATTCTGGCAAGAGTAAACATTTAACCATTGAAACATTTCAATCTCCAGTATGTCCAAAAATTGACAATGATTATTCAGTGAATACAACATATCAAGTAAGACAATTCTCCTGAGTAATTATTTCATATGCTTGTTTTAGAGCTTGTTTGAAAATAATTCGTAAGATTTGTTGGTAGTTTGTACTTTGGGCTTGTTGGTTTATATTATGTACATGCTGGAACAACAGCACCTAACCTTGGACACCATCCTGACTAACATTGAAGGTGATCGGCAGAAAGCTTATAGAGGTTGGACTATGACATTGTATCAATCTATAAAGTCATTAGTTGTTGGTCGAAGCTATGTTAAGATGTCCGGATTACCTCCTCAGTTGTCGCAATTTAACTGCTACTGTATGCATACATATATACCGATCATCGTACTTCGAAGCATTAAGTAATTAACCTTTTTTTTACTTTTTACTGTGCACTGAATGTCAATTTTACTCAATTTGTTTCATTAAGTTATATATTAAACTATCTGGCAATTTTCATGTAGAGTCTTCATTAGCATCCTTCTAGTCTTGAACATACTAAAATTTGTTAAATATGTATGTATATTTATCACTTTACAAACTGTTACCAAACTCCATGGTTTGGACCAAGAATACTGTCAGTCAGTCGTATGGTATTTAAAAAATGTAGCAATATTTTAATTATGTTTTCTTTTTGGTCACAGTGTTGCGTAGAAAGTGAGGTATAAAATTGTTTATTAAGCATTGAGTTTAATGTCGTTTGACGTGACTCTGTATAATTAGGGTATAGTCATCTGCATAATCAATTAATCACCAGTAATCTAATACTTGGTACCAGTTTGTAACGGTTCCAGTTGTCACAACTGATATTAATTATCAGAAGGGGTTTTGTGGAGATTTAGTATTTTTTCATAGTAGAAAGCATGAGTCAATTGAAGCTAGACCACCATGGAAAACCTGGAAACACTGGACGACCGTTTCGTCCTATTATGGGACTCCTCAGCAGTGCGCATCCACGATCCCGCTCTCGCGAGATTCGAACCCAGGACCTACCCGTCTCGAGCCGAAGCCCTTAACCGATAGACCACTGAGATAGGAACTCACTGAAGACAATTGGTGAATGGTTGCTCAACTTCATGAATCAGTTGAAGTTAACACCGTTGGATGCCAGCTCAGTGGTCTATCGGTTAAGGGCTCTGGCTCGAGACTGGACGTTTGAACATATGAAATACAGCTTAAAAATAAGATTTTAAAGTGTAGAATTCAATACAACACTTACCTCAAGATTTAGAGGGCGATGAAGAATTAATACCACTGTACCACATCACCAGCTCCTTGAACCACTGATTTTGAGTGCCATCCAACCAGGTAGTCTTCATCTGATATGACACAGATTAACTATTAATAACTCAATGTATCTGCTCCTTACCAGAAATTATCTAGCTGTGGCTTTATTCCAACCTGGTTCTATATTAGATAGCACTAGATTTCAAGGTAGGTGGTAACTAGTTATGTGTCAAACATGTCTTAACCATCTCATTCGATTCAGATTTATAGCATTGTTAGTCGAATTAGTCTTTTTTGGGATAGTACTCTAGTTCTCACCTTTTTATCGTTCGCTGTAAGGTTACACTATATATAAGTAATTAATCAAAGAAACTTGTGATCGAATCCTTACAGCGTAAGTATATTTCCCACCTTCGTAAACTATATATTTAATGGTCATAGAATAATGCAAAAGAAACTGTTATGCAACATACCCGCTGTTTAGTTTTCAGACTGAGAGATTGCCTGTACCATAGTTGGACAAGTTTTCCGAAGCCAGGGGACTACAAGTAACAAGAATACAGTATTGCTTAACTACAATAAAAAAATACCTAGTTAAAGTATTTTCTTTCCAGTAGTAGCATTAGTGTTACTTAATTTTTTTTAAAACGAAGTTAATTTCTGTTATCTTCGTTCTATTTTTAGATGAATAATATTTATAACCAGTTGGCATTTGATGACCAACCCGGCGGTGTATGGACTCAAGGATTTCCGATTGAATATAAAATGGATCAGTGGAAAGAGCAACCATTAGAAGTTTTCATTGTACCATTTTCACATCAAGATCCAGGTAATTCCAAGAGTTCTTTCTATGGTAATGAATTCTTTCTTTACAATATTGAAATTATTTGTGAACTGTTATAGTCCAATAATTATGATTATATGATTACAATTTATTTTTAACTGACTAATTAAGAACATTTATACCGTATATAAATAAACTTGATGTATATAACATAATTACTGGCTAATTGGTTTCTGCATTCTCTGTATTGTTTGTTTCATTGTTTAATTTACTAATAAACAGTTCAAGAAAGGAATTAAGACAATCGATCAAGAAAAAAAGTTTTCTATGATGTTATTTATTCACGCTGTTGTATTAGAGTGACTAGGTATGCTCTAGTAATCCCTCATTTTTGACTTTTAACCGTCCAAATGTAAGTCTAAAGCGATCAATAGTTCTATTCTCAAACACTTCGTCAAATTTAATTATATAGTCTGTCCGGACAATGTGAATCAAAAGGAATAAGTACCAAAAATCTATACTCCACAAAAACATTGGCAGATCATTTTAAACAGGATCTACGCTTTCGAAAATGGCGTCTTCAGGCTTTCATTCTAACTTAGTCTTAAAAAAATATAGTAATAGTTGTACATCCCTTCTTAATTTAGAAGTTATTACCTCTCATTTTCAAATCATTCTGCATTTCCTCGGTAATCTTCTAGTGAACAATCATCTTTCATCTAATAATCTGTTTCTAACTTTACCATTTTACATAATCATTTGGTCCATTACGTAATTTTTTGCTGATACTTCCTATTATATCTATCTGTTATATTGTATACTGTATGGATACTAATCAATCTATATATGTGTATCTACATATATGTACCCACATTCTTGTTCAGAGCCTCTTGGGTAGATGAGAGACGTCGGTTGAGCCACTTCATTGGTTAAAACCGTTTATGCAATTCGTTAAGGTTTGTTTCATCAATCGAAGAAATATATTTATATCAATAGGTTGTATACATCTTAATTCAGTTGTTCTTAGCATGTTCACTTACCTATGCGATTGGACAGGAATGCTTGAATATCAATATCTGATCGAACAACCTCGGAATGTAGCAAACTCACATCTCAAAACACATGATAATTAATTCTTATCAATAACCATTTCTTATATCTGTACAATGAATTTTTCCACATACATGCTTTTCCTTTATTGGACGTATTCTAAATTTGTTTTCTTTCATGTTTACACTGTTTTCTTTTCTTAGGTTGGATTAAAACTTTGGAAAAGTACTTCGTCACTGAAACAAAGCCTAATCTAGATGCTACGTTAAATATATTAAATGAAAACGAAGAATCTAGATTTGTCTATTCTGAAGTGTCATTTTTAGATTTATGGATAAATACTTTATCAGAGGAACAAAAACAATCTTTCAAAAGGTGGGTAGTTCGGATTTATTTGTGGATAACTATATATATATATACCTGATGGTTGCCAAAATGAAGCTGAAGCTAAAGAAGCAATTGACAATTAGACAAACTGCATTACAAATGTTTAATACAGTCTTCCTTCGAGATACTGACGAACTCAACGAGTTCATGGTAGTTCTTAACGACAGATTCCAAGACATACACGGTCTACTGAAAGAAGAAACTACTATGGAGAACAATTGGAAAATGATCAAGGAAACACTAACTTCAGGAGGTTCTGGACTTCAAGAAGCACCTTCATAAAGAATGAATCTCTATCGAGATCGTGGACAAGATTCAAGAAAGCAAGAACAAGGAGATAGAAATTAACAACAGACGAACAAGAGCAGAGAAAGTCAAAGCATAAGCTGAATACACCTAAGCAAACAAGCAATTGAAAGGAACATTAGAGCTGACAAGCAGAAATACGTGGAAGACCTAGCAACGATAGCAGACCAAGCTGTAAGAGAAGGAAATAGGAAACAACTATGCGACACAACGAAGAAGTTAGAAGGGAAATATAGTAAACCAGAGAGACCGGTCAAGGATAACGAAGGAAAGCTAATCACTGAGACTCAAGAAAAGAGGAACAGATTGTTAGGAAACTTTGCAGAACTCTTGAATAGGCCAGCTCCATTAAATCCACCGGACATCGAAGCAGCTCCTCCAGACCTTACTATAGATGTCACTCCACCAACAATTGAATAAATCAGGTTGACCATCAAACGAATCAACAGTGGAAAAGCAGCAGCACCTGACAGTATACCAGCTGAAGCACTAAGTCAGACATAGAAATATTTGCAAAGATGCTCCACGTTCTAGTCAGTAGGATTTGGGAAGAAGAACATGTGCCAACAGACTGGTAAGAAGGATACCCCATCAAGATATCGAAAAAAGGAGATCTGAGCAAGTGTGAGAACTACAGAGGAATCACACTACTGTCAATGTTAGAAGTTCTCAAGTGGGCGTTGCTGAACCCGATGAAAAACTCAGTGAACGCCCAACTTCGAGATCAACAGGCTGGATTCCGTAAGAATCGTTCGTGCACAGACCGAATCGCAACACTACGGATAATTGTTGAACAATCAATTGAATGGATCTCGTCACTATACATCAATTTCCTTAACTATGAGAAGGCGTTGACAGCGTGGAGAGGAAAACACCATGGAACCTTCCACAACACTGTTGTAAGCCTGAAAAAATCGGCAATATAATCCGGAATTCATACGATGGACTACACTACAGAATGATGTATGGAGTACAACTGATAGACTCATTCCGAGTAAGGACAGGAGTCAAACAAGTCTGCCCACCTTCTCCCTTTTTCTTTGCTCTGGTGGTTGTCTGGAGGATTATGAAAACCTCGACATCTGAGGGGAAGCACGGAATACAATGAACAGCCTGGATGCAACTAGATTATTTGGACTTCGTAGATTACCTAACCCTTCTATCCCATACAGACGAACAGATGCAGGTCAAGACAACCAGTATCTCAGCAGTCTCTGCATTGGTAGGCCTCGACATACACAAGGGAAGAAGCAAGATCCCCAGATTTAACACGGAGAACATCGACCTAATTACATTTGATGGAGAAACTCTGGAAGAGGTGTAAACCTTCACGTAACCGGACAGCATCATTGATGGATAATGAGAGTCCGATGTAGATGTGAATGCAATGATTGACAAAGCAAGGGTAGCTCAGACTTGGAGACCTGCCACAACCATGATCAAACATGTACAAGTATTTATAGACAATTGTCTATGCATGATTCTCAATGTTCGTTGATCGGATATCATCAGAAACAGCCTAATATGGAGAGAACAAACCAGCTTCCATTTGAAGAGGAAATTAGAGAAAGGCGTTGGAAGTGGATGGGACACATTACGGAAATCATTAAACTGCATCGCTAAACATGTAGTAACCAGGTTCGGTAGTTCTGGTAGTCAGTTATCTTGGTAAAATGTTGAAAATATCCTACTATTCATAAAGGATTCCATATGTCTTTCTTTTACAAAATCTTATAGTCTTTATACGCAATCGATACATATAACTCCATCGCCTTATATTACTAATCCTGATTAATTCACAATTATTATTTTGTTTACAATTTGTTTATTCATTTCTAAGATTGTTGCTCAATGGACATTGGGAAATTGTTTCTGGTGGCTGGGTTATGCCAGATGAGGCAGTTACGCATTATTATTCGATTATTGATCAATTTATTGAAGGTCATCATTGGTTATTAGAACATTTTGGTTAGTCTTTTTTTCAGGAAATTGCCAATGTAAAGTTGTTTGTTAATGTTGGAACATTTATTATGTGTACGTATAACTATCCATTGCCAACCTACCTTAATGAGTGGTTTCGACTGGTATGAGAGTAAGTTGGGCTAGATCTATTAGTGGTAAAACGAAAACTCAACATCAGTTTCAACAATTATCGTGACCAGTGGTTGGAGACATTGAATGACATTTGTTTAGAATTGGTTGCAATGACGCAGATACCTTCATTCACTATCTCCCTTATGATTCTGAGTTCCAGTATTCTATCATGTTTACCTTTTTATTGTTTTTTTTTCAAAGAGTGTTCTCAATGTTTAGTCTTCCTCGTAACCATTGGTATTACATTATTTTGACTCAATTTCTATTCATCTTGTTATTCTTATCTAGTTTTGCTAATGTTGTTTAGCGAAATGGACCAACTTATATTCGTACCAGGACTTACGTTGATTATGCCTAAGGTTTTTTTTTAACTATGTTGCAAAACTTTTTGTGATTAAAATATATTGGATGTGGCTAGCAGTAGAATCCAGGATGTGGGTTTCGTTTTATTTGGGACTCGTCATCTGGATATACTCACATCCCAGAGTTGCAGTCCTGGATTCCATTGTTAACTATATTCCATCTATTCTATATCTACTTATGCCATAATGGGTGTATCAAGACAATCTACATAAGATTCACACATACCAAATATCAACAACGGGGTCATTCACACCATTTCAAATTGTACCAGTTATGATTAGTTTAGTAAAGACATGAAATACATCTATAAAGTTACAAACTTCTGATACATAGAAGAGTTTTATCTCCATAGTTTTCAAAATATAAACAAGTTAAAATTCAAAGGTGATGTTTTTCACATAGTACTACTTTTAAAGGTTAATACTAACCACATACCACTTTTCATGAGGTGAAACCAACTATTCTTCTATTAACAATAACTTAAATAAACATTATATTACTGAACAAATATTTTTTGATGATTAACACAAATTAACTTAGAGACTAAGGTTAATGATGTAGAGTATAAGACATTTGTTTCATCTGATTTAATCTATTATAGAGGGGTAGGTTATTGTTTAAGGCTTCCAACTACTAATCTCCAGGTTCAAACTGCTCCATATGCTTCGATTTAAGCAATCGTGTAGTTTTATTAACCATCACACTTCAGGATATGGATCATATTCAATTGAATGAGTTTATAAAAAACAAGAATTTGATCTAATCAATACTATGAATTCAATATTAACTGATCGTTAAATTGTCACCAATGTTGTGTTGTGTGGTCACTGATGTTGATCAGATTATATCAATCAACTTGTACTGTGACCAATAGGCTATGTGACTTGATATTGTGGTGGCGGATAGTTGCAACCGACAAGAATTTCTGAAGGTCCTGGGTTTCGTACTAGTTATTATTTGTTACCAAGACATATCTGTAATTCTTCGAAAACGAACTGGTACTCCTATCTAAGTTTAAACACGAATGGGAGTGGAAGAAATTAGCAATAAGTTATCCAGTGACTATGATTTACCTGTAGGCATGTAATGCTTAAACTAATATATATATATATATATATATATATATATATATATATATCAGAAATACAGTTTTCTACTAATTGAGATATCACTGCAGAAGTTCTCGGACCTATGTAGTTCAAGTATACAGGCATATGTAAGGGGTACGTTTGCGGTGTCCTACAAAGGAAATGTTGAGCTGCAAAAATGTCTGCCCTATGCCTAAGAAAATCAGTGGCCCATCTTTCAGGTCGAAGACAATAAAAAGGGGTGGTTGCAAATACCCGAATAGGCGACCAACAACCTCCCCTTAAAGATTGCTTATTCTTATGTGTGTGTCAGGAAATCCTCGAGCAGTAGCCATGGTGTGAACGATATAAATATGTGTAAGAGTCAGTCTGGTGTAGCGAATACGTTTTCTTTGGGAGCAGCAAACATCTATCCTCCCAGGTGGGTGAACATACCTATGTGTATGCCATGGGATATGTATATGTATGTATACGTATATGCCAAGTGATACTCAGTTTAAAGTTCGTGTGTTAACTAGTATGCATGTAGACTATACAAATCCAGGGCAAGTAAAATTCACAAATATCTTGTTCTTTCAGTGTGATACCAAAATGCATGCAAAGACCCGTGGGGCCGCGGTCCCCATTAAATCACATTCACTCAGTAGTTTTGTGAACCTCAGAAAGACGGAGTCCGTTCCAAAAGGAACACTAGGTCTCCCAGTATCCTTCAGCTGTTCTGTTTGAACCACCGATATTGAGAAACCATCTAGTTTCTCTTCCAAAAGGCTTATAGAGTATAAGCAAATGTTTTCTCATATGCCTAATGCTTACAACAAGAACAGCAACAACAACTACTACTACGAGTGTTAAATTCAATAAATTTATTCTATTTCTTACTAAAAGTACCTTTCAGATCATTCTCTCTATATTTCATTGTACTTTTATTGCTTCAGTGAATTTTCATTTTATTTTAATTCGCACAGTTTCATTTCCTACGAATTATCGATTTTATGAAATCGGTGGTTAACAACACTTTATTAAATACCAGCATTGTGTTTGCTTGTGTGAGTAAAGAATGTTCTGTGAATATGTGATATTAGATTTATTCATGTAATGCCTGATATATAATTATGTAATAAAAATCAGTCAATTTAGAGTTGACGAAGTTCCTAATTTTTATCCAGATGCGTAGTGAAATCCTCTTCCTTTATGAGATCATGAACTAACGTGAGTTGAATGAGGAAGCACTGAGCAGCTCTTTCGTCCTAGTAGTGATCTACACATCGGTAGTGCCCAAACATGGCCCTACCGTAACTGTTATTACTGTGACTCAATTGTTAACACCTTTGGATTTTGGCTAGTCGTATTCAAAACTTATACAAACGAATATATATTTCTCAGATATATTATAATTTATTACCTAATAGGGATTACAAACTCTTATCCTAAGATTTTTGATTCAATATACTGAATTATTGATTTTGAAGTATTGAGTAATAATAAACTGGAGTTTCTACGGAGACGATTTTGTCATTATACAACCTTATACAAGCTGTTATTACATAATTGTCAGTCATTATACAATAGTTTTATCACAAGTTCAGTGGTTTGAGTTAGTCGGTAGGATTACCTCATTTGATCTAGGCTTCGTGCTAGTTAACACTCGTTAAAAAAGTTTGCTTGAAGAAACTGACGTTCTCTATGGAATTCGTGCCTGTAAACGATACCATTGCAATTTTCGTGTTGCGGTTGACTTCTTGTAGGGCTTATATATATATATATATACTTGATTGAATATTGAGTGGCGAGTAGTGTCATGTTTGTCTATCCCTTTAGTATTTATCGAATTCTATCGATCAGAGTATTAATTGTGGTCGATAAATGAACCCACCAGTAATATTGTTATACATTCACCGTTTCGATCCACCCTGATTTTAAGTTACTATGTTTAATTTACGTGCCGATCACAAACATGTAGCCCTTTACAAACACAACTTAGTTTTCACTGATTCGTTTTTGTTGTATCTCTGCTACTGTCTATTAGACGTATACGTGAAGTTCTCTTTGTAACAGATTTTTCTATTTTTGTATTTTTCTATTAACTGTATTAATTTACATTAAATAGGAATAATATATTTGTAAAATCTCAGCAAATGAATTTTTTAATTAAATCCAACATTTCGCCTGGCAAGGAATTCCTTGAAAAAGCTTGGACCAGATTGCCAGGCGAAATGTTGGATTTAATTAAAAAATTCATTCGCTGAGATTTTACAAATATATTATTTATCATAATTTAAAGCATAAGTCAATTGAAGCTAGACCACTATGGAAAACCTGGAAACACTGGACGGCCGTTTCGTCCTATTATGGGACTACTCAGCAGTGCGCATCCACGAAACCGCTCTCGCGAGATTCGAACCCAGGACCTACCAGTTTCGAGCTGAAGCCCTTAACCGATAGACCACTGAGCTGGCATCCAGTTGAAGTTAGACATTAACACCGTTGGATGCCAGCTCAGTGGTCTATCGGTTAAGGGCTTCGGCTCGAAACTGGTAGGTCCTGTGTTCGAATCTCGCGCGAGCGGGTTCGTGGATGCGCACTGCTGAGGAGTCCCATAATAGGACGAAACGGCCGTCCAGGTTTTCCATGGTGGTCTAGCTTCAATTGACTCATGCTTTAAACTATGATAAATACTAAATCTCCACAAAACCCCCTCTGATAAATAAATATATTATTCCTATTTAATGTCTTACTTCAACTCGGCGCTCAAATACTGTGAAACTATTCGTTCTAATTTAGACGAGAGTTCTTATGTATTAATTTACCTTTTAGAAACAGATTGTAATTGTTGTTTGCCAAAACTTGTATGACAATTTAGGGACTTATTTAGGAAATTCATCTGTAGGCAAATTAAATCCTACACAGGATCTCCTTATATTTCTGTATTTTTCAATCACATGCGAAATGTTGATGCTTTTATTGCCCTTCCCATTTATTCTATCAGACTATCGACCCAATGTCACATGGTCTATCGATTCCTTTGGACAGAGTTCGACAATGCCATATCTAGCGAAAAAACTTGGTTTCTCTCAGATGATTATTAATCGTGTACATTATGAAGTCAAAAAGTATCTTGCTAGTCGAAAAGCCTTGGAATTTATGTGGCATCAACCATGGGGTGAGCTAGAAAAATGTCATTTATTTAGTTATCTCTTCGGATATTATTGTCGCTATCTCGACACTTTTTCGGTTATGTATGTGTTATGCCTGAAACTAAATTCGATTCCGCTGTAACGAACGAAAGCCAATGACACAATGACACGATAAGCTATTCTAATCGGTTGTCCCAGACCCCGCTAACTAGATGAAGAAGTCCAAGGCAAGTAGGGGAATATGTATGTATTCCGTAAGCAGCCGAGTACAAGCAATCGAATAATGGAAAAATTCAAGCGCATTTATACAACAACAATTTGTCCTTGAGCATCATTGGTAAATAGCACACACAAAGAAACAATGGACCAATAGCGTTTAAGACAGTTTCCGCGTTTGGCGCGGAAACAGCTAAATCCAAATTTTCAAAATAAAATTACAAAACTAAGCCATTTACCAAGCAAGTTCTGGGGATTTGACATCCTCAACAGTATGGTGTCAGTTTGTTTCTATTAGGATATAGACGGTGATATTGCGTCGGATATTATTCAGTTGATTTACATTTTCGAAACGTGTTTCTTTCGTTTCGGATCCTTGATGATATTTGACTCTAAAGTTTGCAACATAAACTGTTACGGGTTTCTGTTGTATCCCCTGGCGAATTATGAATCATAAATCTGAGGTCCATTTATGGACAAATGTAATACGCCTATTCCTATTGGATAGTTGTTAAATAAGTGACCTAATCGTTTCCGTGTTCCTCTTATCATAACCTTTATTTTGACCTTGGAACTATTATTATTGATTACTTTCCCCCTAGCTACAGCCACATTGGCCAATTACTGTACAAATGTTATTTTTCTATTGTTGATATATGTGGTCTGTTTGGTTAGTATATATAACCCAGTATGCTTGTAAATAATGATTCATATTGCTGAGGCTGTTATTTGTGTTTTGGACTTAGCGGCTGGGCTAGGCAGATAGGAAGGACCGAATAGCACCCAAGACTGCTCGTACGTATTTTCTGTATCATTGGACATATACATATATATTAAGAGGCACAAAAATCTATACGTTATAACAGTTTCAGTTTTAAAACACCTAAAATTAATACCGTTTTAGCGTTGGAGCATTGGAAACTCCTTGAGATCGGTCACATGACCTTTTTGTGAGTTGTTTTAATTTCGTACATTTAATGCAGTCTGTTGGGTTAGTTGAAGTGTGGCAATTTTATGACCAACATTTTTTAACTCCTTCCTTCTGTTGTATGAAGACAGCATAGCTGGAAATGCTGGTTGTTTGAGGGGTACACCTTAACGCCATCATAACTATACTACTTAGTCCCCGGAGATTAAGTTCCTGTTTTTAACCAAACCACTCTTCAACCAATATGCCTGTCATAGTAGGACCCAATAGAATAAGAATTCTGTTTAATACAATTCGATTTATTCAACCTGATACACAAACCCAACTATCATATCATGGTACCAGCTATAGTTAAATTTACTTAGTTATTGTTATTACCAGCAATTCAGCCTATATTTAATGTGTACTTTTCTAAACAAGTTTATTGTCAATATAATCAATATAAGAGAACAATAAATTACACTAGAAAACAAGCAATCTATTTCTATCTGTTCTTTTTAATAAATGAACTATGCATGAATATATTCACAACTGAGTGTAAAATTCACATAAATGATTTTTTTACCACGTTATTGTTTCATATTAATGATTGGTTTTTATTTTACAGATGCTGCCGGTTCTTACTCTATCCTGGTGCATATGTTCCCATTCTTTTCATATGATGTTCCGCATACATGTGGTCCAGAGCCTGCAGTATGCTGTCAGTTTGACTTTATTCGAACGGAAAAGTACGGTTGCCCATGGAGAAAATTACCGGTCTTCATAGATGATTCAAATGTTGCTGTTCGGTGAGTAAATGTTCACAAGCACTTGCTTTTATGTAATATTTTGTGGTGTCATAACCGCTGTAGAACCTGATAGATACGTACACCAGTCCAGGTTATTACAGTATATCAACACATGAAATTGGTATATAGGTACATTTTTTATACATGACTGAATAACACATAATGATTATCATAGGGTGCTTTGTAGAGATTAGTGAATTTTATAGTCTACATCAACAACTAATAAAAGCGAGGAAGTACTGAATAGCCATCTCATCTTGATGTGAGACACTTCAGTAGTACATACCTATGACCACAAATAACAGTTGGACTTAAGACCTTCAGACCTCACGATGAGCGGTTAATTTTTAAACCAGTGAGTTCACCTTAATTAGCTTGCTTGACTCCATTGTTGTGATGTAACGTTTATTCTATTTAGAACATTTAGTCACTTTGACACATTTAGATAATACAATGAAAAGACGACTTTTATCAGAAATACTGTAATGTATTTATTTGAACACATAAATATTGATATAAAGGGACACCGAATTCATATGCGCTACGCAAACCACTTGAGTCGTGAGCTGGCTGTGATACTGCCTGGGTGCCCAATACGAAGCAGGTGGTTTTCTTAAGGGGCCACTCCCGGAGCCTTCGACTTAAAGGTCTAATCCACATGGCAGTGGAGCGACGTGTGGATATGCAGTCCGATGGTATTCGGTGACCAAGAATAGATGTATACTCGATTCGTTCCTTCAGGATCATGGAGTCCACATATACCATTGGTTTGGTTTTTCAACCCCCCTAGGTTGACCGTCTGTGTCCACCAAGCTGGTTAAACCGCCGGACATCCCTTTTTTCCCCCTCAGTTTCGTAAACAACAATAATGCCGCTAGAAGGGAATGAGTAGGACTTTCATGGAAGTGGCTGTATATTCGTGGCCATGTGAGAGCATTTGGAGAGGGAGAGCAGACTCTCCCCACCCTCGTCCGTACCAGGCCATTCGGAGCACTGTAATGTATTAACGTGTACTACATTCTAAATAGCAGTCTTATCGCGAATTTAATTATTAAGACATTTGTGTATGAAAAAGGAAAAGCCAGTCTAAGCAGTTTGGATGATAAGGCAAAAGCAAAGATCATTATGACAAAAAAGAACACGCATTACACCACTGTGGATCAATATCACGAGAGTAGGTTCAGGGTGAAATTAAATATATTTTTAACACATCAGTGGCGTTTTGATCTTTGTATGACTAATAATTAAATAAGCCTTAGTATTAGTTCCTGATCGCAACACTAATAAAGCTGGTTTAATAATAGCTACATGTCCCGTATCAACTCACCATTTCGTGATGGGAAAATGTTTGTTTATCCTACACTTTTATCAAACCATTGGAATTCATTTGTTTTTGTAACCGTTTTAGGTATGTGTTGAGCTACCTTTTACATACAGATCACAATATTGTTTTACCTACATATGTCCAACTTGTCTGCTCATATCTTCACAATATTCTTTTTTTTCTTGCTAATTGTCAAATCAACAGAGCTGATATGTTAGCTGACCAGTACAGGAAAAAGGCTACATTATACAATAATAATGGTCTAGTTTTAGTCCCATTGGGTGATGATTTTCGTTATCAGTCAACACATGAATGGAATGTTCAATTGGATAACTATAATAAATTAATTCAGCACATCAATTCAAATCCTAGCTATAGGATGAAAGTGAGTTCTCTGCATGAACCACTTCTTAAAATAATCATCATTTTTAAATTTCGTATTATATATGCATACTACTTAATAGCACAGAATAATAGTAGTTTGGACTTAAATTGATTGATTGTGTTTCAATGGTATTTGATCAGTCTAGTTGTGTGTTTTTTCAAGTTTAAATTTACCTTTAGTTCAACTATGATTAAATTTGCTGTTGTAAGTGAACTAAGTAATATTTTATTATTTAAATATCTCTGAATTGACTAAAGATTCCCCACCTATTCGAATAATGTCGGTGGTGTTTCAAGTTTATATTATTCAACTTGAAAATAGTTTAAATCACGAACCCACTTCAGTTAAACTACGGATCACAAAACAACTATTTCATTTTAGTAATGAAGTTACTAATCAGTGCCTATCTACAATTCATTCATTAGTCTCGAGGTAATCACATTATTTTTATTAACCTACTCTGCTGATGTTAAGCAGTTCTCACTGACACAACATCTGTCAACTTTCCATATTACTTGATTATTATCTTTTAATACTGTTATGGTACTGGAACAGGACTCTAATAAAGTCGAAAGTACAAGGCATCAACTCGAGAATGAAATCTTACAACTCTCTTGGGAGCGGCGTAGGTGATGAGAAGCTATCAAGAGTTAGACTATGGATTGATTTACTATGATAATCGTTTAGTCTAACATTTCATTGTATTTTGGAAATTTCAGTTATTCACAATTTTGATATATTATACTATTTTAGTCTGATATTGTTACTACTTCTACCATTCTAGTATTTATCTTGATAATTCCATTTAACTGCATTGTTTTGGTGTGAAAACCTGAACGGATGGACATATGTACCATGCTCGACGTTTTTCTTTTTGAATAACTGATTAACCGAATCTCAGCATTTAAATTGGTATTATGAATCTACTTTTTGTTATAATCAGTCAGTCAGTCACAACGTAGAACTTCATACGTACGTACATCAGTTCGAGTTGCCATACCACATTAGCACAGAGATGCAGTTGTCGATTCAAATCCCATATTGGTAGAAGTAGTAAGAGTATAAGCATTAATGTGAAAGATTAGGGTTTGAAGATGTTATTGAAGGAGTATAATACAATGAAACAAATTTGGAAAGATAAAAAGGATACAGACATGAAGAATTCAGATTAGAATTTGGTAGAACACAAAGGGTAGATGCACCTTCACCATTGCAAACGATATTGAGCCATGTCATTCAAGGACTCTAACCATCGGTTGCTATCATCTCGCGAATCCCAACCAGGTAGTCTACACCTACCAACATGGCTTAGTCCACTTGTCAGTGAATTCACGGATTTATGCCATGTTTTGATCTGGCCACCCCTAGCTTACTTCCAACCTGCTCCTACACCATAAAGCAATGCACGTCGGGGCAGTCGGTGGTTGGGCATACGTAACGTATGTCCTAGCCATCTCAACTGATGAAGTTTCACTACTTCATCAATCGATTTGCCATCCTTACCTAGTACCCGTTTCCTAACATCTGCATTACTTACCAGGTGGTCCCAGGATATACGAGCAATGCGTCGGAAACACCTATGATCGAATACTAGTAGCCTACGAATATCCTCTACTCTTATTGGCCATGTTTCACTGCCATAAAGTAGGACGGAGCGAACAACCTTTTTGTGGGGGATTTTTGACGTGTTAGCTCCGTTCTTCAAAAGTCCTTACCGCCGGAGACGGAAATCCGTGGGATAAGACGAGGTGTGCATTTTTAGGGTCGACCTTTTCTAACCCCACCCCTCCTTGTGGGAAGGCATCATCGCTGTCATGCTGGTTGTCTGAAGGAAACACCTTACTGCTGTCACACCTCTTTACAGTCAGCAGTACGACTTCACCTTCGGACCTTGGGTTTACTGCTTTTAGTCTCACCGCTCTTCAACCGACCTGTCTGGCATGGTAGGACCTCGAGGAACGATTGTTCCAGCCAGCATAGCTCGATTGCTTCATTACGATAGGCAAGCCCGACCACCACGTCAAGGTAGCAGCAACGGTCGGGTTTGTTATAATAATGATTTAGAAACAGATTCCCAATGTGTTGTTTTTGTCTTGGAGTGGAGTTCAACCACTTCTGTTGTTAGATAACAACTCACTGATGACAATTAGTGAACGGTTGCTCAAACTTCGTGGATTGTTTGAAGTTAGAAATTAACACAGTTGGATGCCGGCTCAGTGGTCTATCGGTAAAGTGCTCCGGCGCGGGACTGGCAGGTCCTGGGTTCGAATCTCGCGACTAAACGGCCGTCCAGTGCTTCCAGGTTTTCCATGGTGATCTAACTTCAATTGACTCATGATTTCAACTATGAAAATAATTTATTTTTGTATTAACCTGTCTGAATTTGTTATCTTCTATTCTCTCATTAACAGATACATTTCTCCACATTATCCAATTATTTTCATGCATTAAATGAACGAGTAAACAAAATGAATTCAACAATGTCCACATCATTTCCATCACTATCTGGTGATTTCTTTACTTATGCAGATCGACAACATGATTATTGGAGTGGATATTACGATTCATATCCTTATCAAAAATTCTTATCACGTATATTAGAATCTGAGTTAAGGTATGTTGCTTTTTTTTCCTTTTTTTCATAATAAAAAGTATTCATTTATGTATTCATATAGATTGTTCAGTTGACCCTGTGTCTAAGAATCAGTATACTTTTACACTGGTAAATACAACTAAAGATCTTGTCCTAAGTTCAATCAGTCAGACAGTCACAACATAGAACTTCGTACGTACGTACATCAGTTGCCATACCACATTAGCACAAAGATGCAGTTGTCGATTCAAATCCCATAGTGGTAGACGTAGTAAGAGTATAAGCATTATGTGATCGATTAGGGTTTGAAGATGTTATTCAACGAGTACAATCCAGTGAAATAAATTTGGAAAGAGAAAAATGATAGGGACATGAGGAATCCAGAAGATTAGAATTTGGGTGAACACAAAGGGTGGATGCACCTTCACCATTGCAAACGATATTGAGCCATGTCATTCAAGGTCTCTAATCATCTGTTGCTATCGACCCGCAGATCCCAACCAGGTAGTCTCCACCTACCAACATGACTCAGTCCACTTGTCATTAACTTCATGGATTTGTGCCACGTTTTGGTCTGGCCGCCCCTAGCTTTCTTCCAACCTACTCCTACACCATGAAACATTGCACGTCGGGGCAGTCTGTAGTTGGGCATACGTAACACGTGTCCCACGTTTCCAAGCCGTTAGACTACTTGAAAATGTGCTTCTTTTATTTTGTAAGATACTGAAATTAATAATTGAATAAGTAACTACATTATAATCCTGATTTTTAATCAATGACTATTCTAAGAGCCTTAGTTATAAGAGTAAATAGAAGCTAACAGCTCAAAAACCTTCTATCATTTGTTTTCTGACTTAATGTGGAAGTTCAACTATTTCATTTAGAACCAGATATCAATAATAACGATCTATATTGATATAAATTTAGAGTGAGATCAGAAAAAGAAGAAATGCACAATATGAAATAGTCTATTATATATGTGGCTCATAAGGTTACATCTGTTTACACTCACTAGCAAATCATAATTTACTGTGAGCGAACATGTCTACTTATTTGCAAGTTTGGATCCATTTTATATTAGGGATACACCCAGCTGTTGATCAAAAAATATACAGATCAAAGTTTGTTACATAAAACTACACTTGATTATGTAACTATCGTAAGTCATTATTAATACTGAATCTTATCTATCTAAAGCAACGACGGTGTATTGAATAACTTGAATATCACCACTTCAGTATTCTAGTAGATAGTCAAATATATTTAAGCAAAAGTAAAGAGTTAGTCAGTTAATCTCAGCAATAATTTTTGCCATAACGTCAAATTCCCATGTAGACAATGTTCTTAAAGATTATCATTCGATTTGTGATGAACTAAAAATATTTACATCAAGGAGTAGGTTAAAAAGAAAGCAAGGGACGGCCAAACTAAAACGGGCATCTGTCTGTGAAGTTATTGATCGTTAATATGAACCATGTTGTTCGATACAGATTATGTTTTTGGAATCGACGTAATAACTGACAGCGGTTTCTGAAAACTTCGGGTGACTTAGTTCAGTATCATCCACAATAGCTCAGATGCAATCATTCATCTTTCGATCTTTTATCCCTTCATACATACCTTTCCACTCCGTCTTTTCAAACGATGTTCTTATAGTTTAATCTTTTTTATCATTGCCAATACATTATTTCAAACACTTTTTAAATTTTCATTTCGTCACATTAATATGCTATGGGAACCCGAACCAATGCACATCTTTGCCAGGCTATATGTTAATGATATATGTCTGCATAATATCAAAAATTCTAGCTAGTTCTAGTAGTTCGTCACTGGCTTTATCCAATAATTTATATAACAATCTGAATAGAATATAGTATTCTAATTAACTGGTAGTAATTAGAGTTAATCCTTAATTTGCTGTATACCAGGTCTTTAAAAAAACGATATTCATCTTGGTGATTTATTCTCTGTTTTGTTAAATGTTTTCTCCTTTTGTATTCATAGAACAGCTGAAATACTTTACAGTTATACCAGACAAAGTGTTGGTCGTATACAAAGCGTTACTCAATTAGTGCCATTAATTACAAATCTTTATCAGAATCTTACAACAGTTCGACGTAATCTTGGTTTATTTCAACATCATGATGCAATAGCTGGTACAGCACGACCGGAAGTAATGCTTGATTATTCAGAAAAGTGAGACTTTTGTTTTATTTGAAAACAAATATTCATTTATTTCTAATGGTCGTATATGTTATCTAAGCTAAATGGTTTAATTGTAGTACTGTCATTGCCATTCTGTACAACGTCATCAATACTGAATCACAAACAAAACTGTTAGGATGAAATGAGCGCTTGTGAGAGAAATATAAAGCTCACTTGTACATGAAGTGAGCGCTGATAATGTTGTCTAGAGCGAGAATCAAAGCTCCTCAGTTAAACCAGCTAGCTTTACGAACATAACACCATCAAATCCATGCATTTGACCTAAACATCTTCATTCTTTCAATATTCATTATTTCTTATTCTTAAATTAGTTTGTGCCTAATCAAAAGTAATGTTAGATGGTTTCAGGCGATTAGTGGAACTGACCCTACACCTAGTTTTTGTGTTCGTTTATACGGGTCAGTATGTTGTATTTGTAAACGTGAAACAACTAATGATCCTCCATTTATAAATTGGATTGGTGTCACCAATATAATAATCAGAAACATCACCATTGAGTTATTTAGGTCAGTACTAATCGCCTTTAATCACTTACGGTTATTCTACATATATATAGATGAACCCCGACAAGAATGTCGATAAATGAGCATGCAGTTTTCAGATCCTGGAAATTCTAAGATTTAAAAATTTTCCAGTGACTTGACGTTTAAGTTTATTATGACTGGTCTTTAGCTGCCCAAATCGAGATGTTAACACAATGATTGCGCACAACATTAAATAATGTTCAAATGGACGTGTACAATGTTTTAAGTGACTTTTTAACCTAGCTCGCTCACAACTATGGAGAAGATAAAAAAGTGAAAAGTTTCTTCCTCCCTCGAACCGATGATAATACATAAAAGTGTGTAAGTATTTCCATAGTTTATTTCCTAGCCTATCCTTAAGAAACATATACTGTATCTGAGATTCAGAGTAATTGTCGATATGATCTTACTAAATTTATTCACAAGGTAGTCGATAATAAAAATTTCATTATTTTTTTGTTTTTGTTCTGTGACCCTGAAATTGCTGTTTCAAAATTAATTTATACGTTGCTACATAGTATTTCCAGGTGAATACATTTCTACCCCCATGTGCCCTGGTACGGCCGATAGTGGAGAGAGTCCGCTCTCCCTCTCGAAATGCTGTCATGTGGCCAGCGAATATATAGCCTCTACCAGGGAAGTCCTACTCACTGCCTTCTAGCGGCATTATTGTTGTTTACGAAATTGAGAGGACGAAAAGCAAATGTCCGGCGCTTTAACCGGGTTGTGGATCCGCCTAGGGGAGTTGGAAAACCTTGATTCCAAACCAATGATGCACATCGGCTCCAGTATCCCGAAGGAACGAATGGCGTATGAACTAATCGTTCGTCAACGGCTAACATGGGACTGCATCTCCTCATGATGCTCCACTGCCTTGTGGACTAGACCTTCAGGTCAAATGCTCGGGGTGTGGCCCCCTAAGAAAACCACCTGCTTCAGTTTGGGCACCTGGGCAGTATCACAGCCCTCACACAAATCGAATGGGATTTGTGAGGCACATATGTATCTGGTGCTCCCTTGTACCAATATTTATGTGTTTAAATAAAATAATAAATACATTTCTGTGAAGGCAGCATGGCCAGTAACTTTTATTCATTCGCACTTTTTAAAGAACCGTCTTCATTCGAATACGGTTTTGCTTTTATTTTGGTGTTTTCCTCGTAATATATCGGAACAGTTGAAAGTCTGCCAAATAATATATATATATATATATATATATATATATATCCGTGAGTATACATTCATTCCTTCTCACTCTCCGTATTTGTATTCGGAAAGCTGATCGGGCTCGTGTTTAAGATTTTGTATCAATATCAAAACCGAACACCGTATAACACAACAGTTTCTGTTACTTCACGTCTTCCATGAGACCTGAAGGTTCTGGATTTAATCTCTCATGATGTCATGAATCCCTACACTAGGACGAAGCAGCTATTTGATGCTTTGTGGTTCCAGTGTTTGTCCAACCATAATCGGTCTATGGTGTGAAATTTCAGGTCCAACAATTTCCCACGTATATTAATTTCATATTTCTTACTCAGAAACATTTTCTCCTTTTGTTTTTTCTAACATCCGGTTTTTTCTTCCCTCACAGATTATTGAGAGCTGTCGATGCGGCACGGAAGGTTATTACAATCTCTAGTGCTTATCTGTTACTATTACCATCAATGTTAAAATCAGATATTGAGTTTTCAAATAGACGACGATTACCTGTTTCCAGTCAATTTAAGCAGACGTTAGTTCAGTTAAATGATGAATATGAGAGAAAAAACGATGATAGTAGTAATAATACTTCACACATTTTCTATTCTCTAGAAGATACTTTACATAATTATCAATATTCAGAGCCAATTTTAATTGATTTCTTTGAGAACAATAACAATTTTGATGTTGAAAATACACGGTTAGTTAACAATCTAGTTAGTTGATTCTTTTTCATACAACCAGTAACAATTAATTATGTGACTTCCCTTCAGATTATAACTGTTGGAAAGATCCAGAGTATTACTTGAAAAAAGATCAGAGGGTCCCTGAAAATACTAGGAAACATTTTATCCAATCAACATTCAATAGAAGCCTCTCAGAAACATCTAGTAGGTGAAGAGTCACGTGTCATGGATGGTTACCTTCCCTGCTACTATATTTAAAAGAGTTTCAGAACCTTCCAGAAACCCAAGTCCATCTGAAATAATATAGATATCATCAATTTTCTGTACATAAACTAACATTACAGTAAAGGGTTCTTTCCTCTCGTATTTAAGTCGTCGTTTAGATTTAGCCTGGAGTTATTAGAAAAGCATTCATTCAGAAGCTTTATCAGTAACATTATTTATTCACTTATACTTTAGTCAGTCACTCACAACGTAGAACTTCGTACGTACGTACATCAGTTCGAGTTGCCATACCACTTTAGCACAGAGATGCAGTTGTCGATTCAAATCCCATAGTGGTAGAGGTAGTAAGAGTATAAGCATTATGTGAACGATTAGGGTTTGAAGATGTTATTGAAGGAGTATAATCCGATGAAATAAATTTGGAAAGATAAAAATGATAGGGACATGAGGAATCCAGAAGATTAGAATTTGGGTGAACACAAAGGGTGGATGCACCTTCACCATTGCAAACGATATTGAGCCATGTCATTCAAGGTCTCTAATCATCTGTTGCTATCGACCCGCAGATCCCAACCAGGTAGTCTCCACCTACCAACATGACTCAGTCCACTTGTCATTAACTTCATGGATTTGTGCCACGTTTTGGTCTGGCCGCCCCTAGCTTTCTTCCAACCTACTCCTACACCATGAAACATTGCACGTCGGGGCAGTCTGTAGTTGGGCATACGTAACATGTCCTAGCTATCTCAACTGATGAAGTTTTACTACTACACCAATTGACTTGCCATCCTTATCTAGTACCTGTTTCCTAACAACTGTATTACTTACCCGGTGGTCCCAGGATGTATGAGCAATGCTTCGAAGACATCTTTGATCAAATACTAGCAGCCTACGAATATCCTCTACTCTTATCGGCCATGTTTCATTGCCATAAAGTAGGACGGAACAAACTGCTGCACAGTAGTAAACCCGTCCATTGGTTGCTAAACGGATATCTCGCCTACGCCATAAATGACGCAAGTTTGCGATTTGTACAATTGTCCATTTCGAATCTGTAGTTGTATCAATACACAGTTTATGTACACTTAATCGACAAATACCAATTGTATTCACATAAAACTTTTCTCGCATTGATGATTTACCAATATTCAATTTGTTTTTAGTATCACTTATATTTCTGTTTTACTCTACTATTCTTAGTTTTTTTTTCATAGTTGAAATCACGAGTCAATTGAAGTTAGACGACCATGGAAAACCTGGAAGCACTGGACGGTCGTTTCGTCCTATTATGGGACTCCTCAGTGGCAGTGCGCATCCACGATCCCGCACTTGCGAGATTCGAACCCAGGACCTACCAGTCTCGAGCCAGAGCCCTTAACCGAGAGACTACTGAGCCGGCATCCAGGTTTTCCATGGTGGTCTATCTTCAATTGACTCATGATTTCATCTATGAAAATACTGAAATATCCACAAAACCCCTTCTGTTCTATTTTTAGTTTGTTTTTTTCCTTTTTTTCCTTTTTATCATAATCATAGTCGTATTTACATTTTCAATCCATCAAGTCGTAATCATAGTAAAATCATCAAATTACATGTAAAACATCATCTAATGAATTTTGAAGCTAAACAAATTATATCAAATTCTATGGATACATTAAATCATCAATTAGATATACAATTGGAGCATAGTTTCATTCATGATCAGCATAAACAACAACCTGTTAGTTTGTTATATTTAAGTCCAGTTAAATTATATCCATTGTCATTTATATGTATTGAATTGAACGTAGCATCAACAGCAACATCATCTTCTATGGTACAAGTAAAACCACAATTAATACCAGTTATAAATGATGCTGAGATGTTAGTTCATAAGTGAGTTTTGATTGATATGAGTTTTTGTGTATTACGTATAATGTTGGTTAGACTAGATGAGTATAACGATATTACGTATTGGGTTAAACAATGGAAAAAAGTTGTTAGAAAAATGATCAAAGTAGTTTTACGTTAGTCTAGCGAATGATATCCAATTAACTTCTTTGGACACAGATGTAACTCTTCTCCCTTTAGATTGTTGGCTCTTATTAACCGTAGTTTAGCTAATAGTAAAATATAAGACTCGTGTTTCGTCCTATATGGGGCACATCAGCTGGGTGTACTCTCCCACATTGGGACTCGAACATCGTAATGTTTTTTTTAATTCAGAGTATTATCCATTGGGCTAATGATTCTAGATAATCATCTGCTATGAAATTATATGTATATGAATGTTTTCATTTTCCTATTGTTGCAATTAGCAACTGCATTTTATCAGTCTCCATTGGTATATATGCGTCGTCAGCGAATCACCTCGATAGTGCCTTTAAGTTGTAGTTAAAGACTAATTATGCCTAATGGTGAAATCTGCTTACGATCCACATATTGCTATTATTATCATTAGCTTTATTCAATATTATATTTTTGGTAAAATATAGAATTCTCAGCACAATGTATTTCAACAAGTTTCCGTTTCTTACTTCTTGATCGATCCTGACAACTATTATTAAGTGATCGCCAGTTAGAAGTTAGCAGGCTAGTCAATCGACATCTAAATAATGTATATTCTTTTCGCTGTATATTGCTAGCAACCACGATATCTCTGATTGGGCCTTTTGTAACTTGTACAGCGAAACGTTGTACACTTTTCAGAAACTTACCTGAATAGGTTGTGCGATTAATAACCATAATGATGTATTAAAACAACCAAAGTTAGATAATTTGTTGAAATATCTAGATGTTAGGAACAGGTAGCACAGATGTTCAAGCAGGCCGCCTTTAGACATATATTGATCCTGACTGATAAGTTACGGTGCCTAATCTCAACAAAGAAAAAACTCAAACCTTCAAATGTTGTACACCTAATCTCCAAAACTAATACAAATTTTGAGCCATATAGTAGAAAGTTTACACTTATCGATTGGACATTACTATATGGGTTTCAGCTATAGAGAGAGTTATGCATTTTCCGATACAGTTCAGCCAAAGTTGAATGATTTCAATGACATATCTTGGTGTAGTTTCACTAAACGTTTCCTTACCAACCAACTATGTGTATCTTGAAGTATCAGGTAGTGTTACAAAAAACATTTATTTTATGTATTCAAATAGTTGTATATATAGGAGATATTGTACAACTTTATAGTTTAAATCACCAACTGATACAAAGTAAGACCACCATTGTAAATCTGAAAGTACTGGACGGGCGTTTGTTTCTAGTATGAAAATTCTCAGTAGTATCCATCCACAAACCTGTTGGGTTCCGGCTTAGTGGTCTAGACGCTAAGAGTTCGAGTGTGAAACCGAAGGTCCTGGATACAGAATCGTAGATACACTCTGCTATGGAATCCCATACTAGTACTTAATGGCCATCGTCCAGTGCTTCCAGGTTTTCAACAGTGATCTAACTAAGATTAAATCAGAATTCAAATTGTAGGAATCATACCAATAATATAAATTTTCCAATGAGTTCTTTTTACAATCACATGTTATCGTTGTTGTTTATTTATTATTGTATTCACTATTAACACTAGTTGCGTTTACTTCGTTTAATTTCCTGTCCTGATTTTTCACCTTGAAGTCGTCCCCAACTTTTCATAGAGAATGATTATATTCAACTGGAATTTGATTCTAAAACTGGTTATCTTCAAGTAAGTATGTTTTTATATCTTAGTAACTTGTTTTGTATCTATCTACTTTTCACTGTTCATCCTTACTCGTTTTATATATTTTTTAATGTCAGTCCTTTGTAATATTGTAGTGTCGCGATTCGTTAATCGTTCGTTTCGATAACCGATATAATTCTAATCTTAACGGCGCGTAAAATCAGAAGACAAAGGATAGCAGCGCCTACAGTTTATTGTCGAATAACTCAGGTCAGAAAGTTAGCAACACCTGAGCGAGTAATAACGAGCGAGTGAACAGGCGAATAAGCGAAGGAAGTGAACGAGGCGGAAATGACATGCAGTGGAGATGGCTGGGAAGCCAACTCGATTTAAGCAAGCGTTAATCAACATTGATAGTCGGACAAAAATGAGTGACAGACATATGATGAATAAGATACGAAGTGTACACATATATGCGCATATAAAAGTATAGCCAAGGTTAATAAGCGAATAATGAACAAGATCAAAATATGACTCATGACAGGCGAATTGGCTTGGCCAGTAGCTAGGATAAACTGATACTACAATATTTCGTTTTCATTCATGGTTTTTTTCGGAGATATAAGATTGTAGATTAAAATAACTGCCCATCAATTGTATAAAGTGGAAAGTCTTTCCTGCTGAATGACTCCATTTATGCTCTATATACGTGTACTGTGTTGATTCAAGTTTTCATACTGTATCACATAAGTCAGATGAAATTATCTAGATCTACTCCTTTTCCTTTTGTCTTGGGGCTGACCTAATAACATATTGCTCCGGGAATCGGGGGCAGACATTCAAAGAATGAATAGCACTGGGGAGCAGCTGGAAATCAGAACCCAGGACAGAATTGGTTGGAGAATCCTGATCTGCGGCTTGTGCTCCAAGAGGCGTTACAGGCGTAATCTGACCTGACTTTTGTTGATACTTGATAAAATCATCAGTACCTTACTTTAGTTAAAAGTGAACTTTTAAAAAAGTTATTCCGTCAATCCATTCAGACGTCCCACAATCGTAGTATTTCTTGACCTTAAGGCGGCATTTGACTCCGTTGATCGTGAGGTTCTATGGCAGTGTTTGTCAGTGAAAGGAGTACCAAAGTAGTACATTAACCTCATAAAGGCTCTCTACTCGAACACAACTGGTCGAGTTAGAGCCTATGGCGAACTGTCATCAGAATTGGTTACCTCAAGTGGTGTTCGTCAGGGCTTTCCACTCTCCCAATTCTTGTTTAACTTTGTCGTTGACATGCTTTTAGAGGTATCACTTTCATCATCTCAATCTCCTGGAGTTGAACTTTTACCAGGAGGCTCACTTGTAGACTTAGAATACGCCGACGATATAGTTTTATTCCGTGAAGACTCTGACAACATGCAGAGTCTTCTGACCACTATAAGCAACAATGCAGGCATGTTCGGAATGCGATTCTCTCCCTCGAAGTGCAAAATGTTACTTCAGGATTGGGTTGCAGCGACACCTGAACTAGTGATAGGGAGTGAAGTAGTTGAGCGTGTAGACCACTTCACTTATCTTGGGAGTCTCATCAGCCCTTGTGGTCTGGTGTGTGACGAAATCTCAGCACGAATACAGAAGGCTCGTCTAGCTTTCGCCAACTTGCGCCATTTATGGCGTAGGCGAGATATCCGTCTAGCAAAAAAAAGGACGGGTTTACTGTGCAGCAGTCCGTTCCGTCCTACTTTATGGCAGTGAAACATGGCCAATAAGAGTAGAGGATATTCGTAGGCTACTAGTGTTCGATCATAGGTGTTTCCGACGCATTGCTCGTATATCCTGGGACCACCTGGTAAGTAATGCAGTTGTTAGGAAACGAGTACTAGGTAGGGATGGCAAATCGATTGATGAAGTAGTGAAACTTCACCAGTTGAGATGGCTGGGACATGTGATACCTATGCCCAACTACAGACTGCCCCGACGTGCAATATTTCATGGTGTAGGAGTAGGTTGGAAGAAAGCTAGGGGTGGCCAGACCAAAACATGGCATAAATCCGTAAATCCACTGACAAGTGGACTGGGCCATGTTGGTATGTGTAGACTACCTGGTTGGGATTCGCGAGATGATAGCAACCGATGGTTAGAGTCCTTGAATGACATGGCTCAAAATCGTTTGCACTGGTGAAGGTGCATCCTTTCTTTGTGTTCTACCAAATTCTAATCTTCTGGATTCCTCATGTCTGTATCCTTTTTATCTTTCCAAATTTATTTCATTGGATTATACTCCTTCAATAACATCTTCAAACCCTAATCGTTCACATAATGCTTATACTCTTACTACCTCTACCACTATGGGATTTGAATCGACAACTGCATCTCTGTGCTAAAGTGGTATGGCAACTCGAACTGATGTACGTACGCACGAAGTTCTACGTTGTAACTGACTGACTGACTGATTCCGTCAATCCTAAGTCATTCTGATCTGGTGGTTCTGTTGCTGATTGACTAGTTGTCTATGGATTGTTTTGTCATTTTTACCTTTATCTTTAAACTTTCTTTTTTATAGTCTTGTTCGGTTAATCTCCGTTCATATGATTCATTAGTTGACCTAATTTGTTTTCTATACAATCGTCTTGGGTCCTGTTCCTGGTGGTGTGTCGTGGATGCACACTGTCAGAAAATTCCATACTGAGACGAAACAATTATCTCGGTTTTCAGTGATTGTTTAACTTGGATTGGTTCGCGATCCCAATAAAAAATTATATTTTTGTGTTAAAGAGAATTTAGTTATGTTATTGCTGATGGTTGGAATATGTGTTACTGTTATATCTTGTGGCCGAGTGGATGCCTAGTTGATGGGTGAGGTGATGAGACCGACAATTAGAGAGCAGCGAATTGTCGATTGGAACAGTGACACGAAACTTGTACGAGCAGTCTAGAGTACGTATCGGCCCTGCAATCTGCCTAGCCCAGCCAGTTAAGCCCAAAACACCATTAACAGCCTCAGTGGTATGAGTCATTGTATTTCAAACATACTGAGTTTATATACCAACCAAGCAAGCCATATCGACCCATAAAACAGATAATAACATTTGTACAATATTTAGCCGAATGTGACTGTGAATAGTAATCAACAAACTGACGTTAACTCAAGAATCGTATGATAATAAGTCAAAGGTCAAAATAAAGTTAATGATAAGAGAAACACGAATATGAATAGTTCAGTTACGTAATAATTGTACAATACGAAATAGTCATATTACATTGATCCATAAATAGACCTAAAAGTTACCATTCGTAATTCACCGGGGGATATAACAGTTACGTCTGCCCGATCACCACCCTACCTCAGCGAGCGATGTTTTCTTGTTTGTGAGAGTAGGCTGAAAGGAAGCTAATGGGCAGCCAAGTCAAAACATGACCTTAATTACTGACATTTTGACTGAGCCATGTTAATTGTTGCAGACTACCGTGTTGGGATTCGCATGGTTATCCTAACTAGTGGTTGGAGACATTGAATGACATGGCTTAAAGTGGTTTGCAATGATGAAGGTGCATCTGTTCCTTGTCTTTCCTGGAATTCTGAGCCTCTAACTTCCTCATAACATTCTTTGTGTTTTTATCTGATCGATTTATATTTGCTTGAATCGTGTCTTCCATACTTGATCTTTTCAGTCACCACTCATACTGTTACTAACTCTGTTATTCTGGAACTTGGCCTGACAATTTCATTTCTCTGTGCTAGTGAGGTATAAGAACGTAAACCAATATACATACGTACCAGGTTGTTTGTTGTGACTGACTGACTGATTCTCATTTGAATAAAGTCACCATAAACGTGTTTATTTGATCCATGGACTAATGCAAGCATTCAACATCCTAGGAATTTATGGATTGCCTAGGACTGTTAATGATGAAAACATATTAAAGAAAACTTATAACTTATGGCTCTGTCAAATATTACTTAACCAAACCCTCATTTAGAATATCGTTTACTATGACCTTGTTTCTGAGCTAAACCAATGACACTCTAACACACACTAGCAGTTTTAAGTCAACTCTAATTCCCTATTGGTCCTCGATATAGTAGCTTCTCTACTTTCTTTGCCCATTAAATCCAGAACACAATAACCAGCCTCCACAATACGAATATTATATTTCAAACATATATAGTTCATATACAAGCAGATCAGGTTACAAAACACCATAAAATGAAAAATAACAGTTTCACAAGATCAAGCCGAAAATGTCTATGAGTAAGGGAGACATTGAATCGTATATATATAGTCTAGTCACTTAATAAACTATACAATAAGGACATAAATTAATAATAGTCCAGAAATAATTCCTGGAAGTTACCACTCATTTATTCTTCGTTTGGATATAACAAAAAACACCTTTTTTTTAGATGTTTCAAGCGTTTCTACAAGAGCTGATAAAGAGGATGATTACTGATGAACTTAATTTGTATATACAATTGTAGCAAAAAAGTAATCACAACAATCCAGTTGGTTAGTATAACGTCTAATCACTTTCAAAGTCATTTGTAAGGAATGAAATTAGTCTACTTACTACAAATTCGCAAAAAGAAAAAAACAATCCTTTTATAAGTTGAATTGCTAACGTGGTATGGCAACTTGGACCGATGCTTATATGTGCTTGGTCCTACGTTGTAGCTGACTAACTGAAGTTGGGTTAGTAACTTTACTAACCTCCTGTCCACAAATATTCATACCCACAACTTTTTCCTGTTTCATTTCTTGTATAGAAAATGTTGAATAAATTAACTGGACAATCTATGGATATGAAAATTAACTTTATACAATATGAAAGTTTAAAATTCGATTCACATAGTGGCGCTTATTTATTCATCCCTGATGGATTAGGTGAAGTAAGTGAATTTTCCCAGGGATATATACAATTATAATAACAGTATTAATACTAACTGTAATTTATACACAGTTTATTGTTCTGTAGATCCGAGTTTATTGACCATCTAATTCTGTTGAACTTGAATGCTTTTGAATAGTTGAAATAAATTATCTTATTTATGTATATGGAAAATAAAATTAATGGGGTGGAATAAAAAAAATCATTTATTGCCATTTTTAGTAAGGTTAGATTATTGACTGCCAATTGGATACGGGCGAGTTATACACGGTTCGTCCCATTTGAGACTTACCGGTTGAATGTGCCTGTATCCTAATCTTGGTGTTAATACCGTTCTCAGTTGATAAAGCATTGGGAAACTAAAGTGAACGGTTCTGGGCTCGAGTCCCATCGTGGATATCGGTCCTGAAATATACGTGTATTTATCTGACGAGTTCCAAATGCGACGAAAATCTCGTCCTAGTCACTGTCCAAATTTACTAGGACAATTCTAAATACCTGACAATATCGAGGTGATTCATCTAGTATGCATATATGCAATTAATTGATCAATTAAAGTCCATAGTATCAACAGGAAAGTATAAACATCTGAAATTATTGTTGCTACTGTTAGTATGAGGGGTTCTGTAAAGATTTTTAAGTTTTCAACCACTTAACCTGTAGATCACCGACTCGGTATCCGACCGTGCACTTGTTCAACTTTAACCAGTTTACGATGCCTCACGATCATCTCTTATTATCTGCTATGAATAGCTCTTATATCCAACATAGTTCAGCTCCGCCGTTTTTGAGTTCTCATTACAACTGCGGGAATAATTTTACCTCTCGAAATTAGTTACTAGTATTGCCATTGGCAATCGGATAAGGTTTGAATAACTACATCAATGTTATTTATTAAGCTAATAATTACTAGTTGATCGGAATAATTTAAGATCCATAATGTGTTACGCTCAAAGTTAAGCCAGTCATCCTATCGTGTCAAGGTCTTAATCTATATTAGACAAGTTATACTCGGCACTAAAGTGGGTAGATAGATTCAAGGACATAACAAAAGTGGCAACGGATATTTTTTTAAAAATATTGATTGATCCGAAACAAAATGTCTGTATCTTTGGACGACCTTAAAACTATTCTACAAATTCAGCAAGCGCAGAATAATACAAATCAAATGAAGCTTTTAGATGCATTGATGCAGAAGCTCTCATTCCATTCAACTTCTCAGTCCGATAAGTATGATAGCATCGCAAATTCTATTTGTGAATTCAATTATGATCCCGAATCTGGTATGATTTTCGATTCCTGGTTTCGTCGATTTGAAGACACATTCCGTGTTGAATGCTCAAATCTTGATGATGCAGTCAAAGTTCGCCTACTTCTGAGAAGACTCGGAACACTTGAATATAACAAATGTGTGAATTTCATTTTGCCACAAAATCCGCGAGATCTATCTTTTAATGAGACAGTTCAAACCTTGTCTAAAAATTTTGGTGAACAGTCCTCATTATTCAGCATTCGTTATCAGTGTTTTCAAATATCAAAATCTCTATCTGAAGATTATCTCACATACGCTGGACAAGTAAATAGAGAATGCGAACGTTTTAAAATAAATGAAATTACAGAAGACCAATTAAAATGTTTGATTTTTATCTGTGGACTGAAGAATCCGGAAGATATGGATATCCGTACCAGAATTCTATCGCGTATTGAGCAGGAGCCTAACATGACTCTGCAAATGGTCACAACCGAGTGTCAACGGTTGTTAAATCTTAGACATGATACCGCGATGGTACAGCAAAAGGCAAAGACTTCCGATTTCGCTTCAATAAATGCATTCAGATCTTCCAAATCTTCAAAACAAAAGACGGCGAACACTCAGCAAGCTTCTGGTACACCACCATCACCATGTTGGTTTTGCAGATCATGGCATTTTTTGAAGTTATGCCCGTTCAAGAACCATAAATGCCGCCAATGTCATCGCATTGGTCATAAAGAAGGTCACTGCTCATCAGATAGACGTCAGTCCAAACATCGTGGCGTAAAGGTGAAGCGACAGCCACAGAGCCAAGTCAAAAGCACATTTGCAACTTTTAAAGTTGGATTTCAAAGTAAACGGAAGTATGTGAACTTATTAGTGAATGAAAAACCTATACGTCTTCAGTTGGACACTGCTTCCGACATTACATTGATCTCCAAGAACACGTGGTGTAAGCTAGGGTGCCCACGCATCCGACCAACAGAACATGTTGTCCGAAATGCTTCAGGCGATATAGTGAAGCTAACAGGAAAAGTCACCTGCAACGCACAATTCAAGGAACATAAATTCACTGATATTTGAACTGTCTCATTAAAAGATAGATCTCGCGGATTTTGTGGCAAAATGAAATTCACACATTTGTTATATTCAAGTGTTCCGAGTCTTCTCAGAAGTAGGCGAACTTTGACTGCATCATCAAGATTTGAGCATTCAACACGGAATGTGTCTTCAAATCGACGAAACCAGGAATCGAAAATCATACCAGATTCGGGATCATAATTGAATTCACAAATAGAATTTGCGATGCTATCATACTTATCGGACTGAGAAGTTGAATGGAATGAGAGCTTCTGCATCAATGCATCTAAAAGCTTCATTTGATTTGTATTATTCTGCGCTTGCTGAATTTGTAGAATAGTTTTAAGGTCGTCCAAAGATACAGACATTTTGTTTCGGATCAATCAATATTTTTAAAAAAATATCCGTTGCCACTTTTGTTATGTCCTTGAATCTATCTACCCACTTTAGTGCCGAGTATAACTTGTCTAATATAGATTAAGACCTTGACACGATAGGATGACTGGCTTAACCTTGAGAATAGTATGCCTGAGTTAGAAGTGGGGGTAGAGAGACGAAAACTATTTTATCCCTGATTGGATGGGAAGCACGCGCGCGAGAGAGAAGGTATGGGAAACTGGAACATTAATCACTAATCGAGTCTCGCTCGCGAGAGCGGGTTCGTGATGCGCACTGCTGAGGAATCCCATAATATGACAAAACGGCCGTCCAGTGTTTCCAGGTTTTCCATAGTGGTCTAGCTTCAATTGACTCATGCTTTCTACTATGAAAAAATGCTAATCACTTTATTCCAATCCCAATGTAGCACTCGAATTCCGAATTCGCATTAGTGTGGAGACACATGAATAAATAAATGAATATGCTGACCACAACGTACAATAATTAGGAAGATACAATAATTTGAAAAACTGGGGAATCGGAGTAGAAAATTGAGTACAAAAGGTTGGGTCTAAATTGCAATAGCTTTGGAACAGAAAATGCTAGGTCAGTGAATCATACATCAAACGAATGCTCATGATGTATAGAATAGACTAGGGGCAAAGGTTAATGTTTCGGTTTCACAAGCTTTGAATTAAATGAAATAACGTGCCCAAAAATATCTTCCATATTTTGTTAAGGGTTCTTGTTTCGCAGTTCACATCAGTTACAAATTCCTAGTAGCTGGACATTTTATTTGTGTAATGATGGTGTAATGCACAGATCAAATCGCAACTCTGCGGACCATTGTGGAACAATCAATCGAATGGAATTCATCACTGTACATCAACTTCATCGACTACGAGAAGGCATTTGATAGCGTGGAAAGGACGACACTATGGAAGCTTCTGCGACACTACGGCGTGCCTGAGAAGATAGTCAACATCATACGGAACTGCTATGATGGACTAAACTGCCAAATCGTCCACGGAGGACAACTCACCGACTCGTTCGAGGTAAAGACCGGTGTTAGGCAAGGTTGCCTACTCTCACCCTTTCTCTTTCTCCTGGTGATCGACTGGATTATGAAGACGTCAACATCTGGAGGAATGCACGGGATACAGTGGACAGGCAGGATGCAGCTTGACGATTTAGACTTCGCGGATGATCTGGCTCTTCTATCACAAACGCAACAACAAATGCAGGAGAAAACGACCAGTGTAGCAGCAGCCTCAGCAGTAGTAGGTCTCAATATAAACAAAGAGAAAAGCAAGACTCTCCGATACAATACAATATGCACCAATCAAATTACACTTGACGGAGAAGCTTTGAAGGATGTGGAAACCTTTACATATCTGGGCAGCATCATTGATGAACACGGTGGATCAGATGCAGATGTGAGGGCGCGGATCGGCAAAGCAAGAGCAGCATATTTACAACTGAAAAGCATCTGGAGCTCAAAACAATTGTCAACCAACACCAAGGTTAGAATTTTCAATACAAATGTCAAGACAGTCCTACTGTATGGGACGGAGACGTGGAGAACTACGAAAGCCATTATCCAGAAGATACAAGTGTTTATTAACAGCTGTCTACGCAAGATACTTCGGATCCGATGGTCAGACACTATCAGCAACAAGTTACTGTGGGAGAGAACAAACCAGATTCCAGCAGAGGAAGAAATCAGGAAGAAGCGCTGGAAGTGGATTGGGCACACCTTGAGGAAATCACCTGATTGCGTCACAAGACAAGCCCTCACATGGAATCTTGAAGGTCAAAGGAGAAGAGGGAGACCAAAGAACACATTACGCCGAGAAATAGAGACAGACATGAGAAGAATGAACAAGAACTGGAAAGAACTAGAAAAGAAGGCCCAGGACAGAGTGGGTTGGAGAAAGCTGGTCGGCGGCCTATGCTTCATTGGAAGTAACAGGCGTAAGTAAGTAAGTAAGTAAAGATGGTGTAACTCTTAATCAGAAAGATATTGTTACATTTAGTCTTTTTTTTTTCATTTAATTTTTTATATGAAGTAATGGCTGAGTCATGCTGATGGTTAAAACATCTAAATTTTGGTGTGTAAGATGTAGTTCTTAATCCTCTTGTTTGACTTAGCTAACTACGGTGTCATCAGCTTTTTACATTATCAAATGTGTAATTTAAAGCTAACTACATATATCTGTAATTAGTAAATGAGTTAATTTATAGATTATGTCAACTGAAGATTGATGTCAATCGGGTCGTCTCATGAATTTAGGGAGCAAACAAAATTGATTTTGTCTTAGTATTGAACTCTCTGATTACATAATACGACCCAGTTAATTTTCAATCGACATAAGTTTGTCGTTATCCCAATAATTAGTTTAAATTTCAAGATAATCAGCTCAATTAACCAAGAAATAAAAATTATTTCCTACAGTCCTTTCTCTCGCTGATGTAAATCAATAGCCCTTATGAGATTCGGACTATTAACTGTACATTGATATAATCGATAAGACCTAGAAAATACTGTTTTCTTCCATTGTTTAGGTAAATAATTGCGCAATGAACCATAGTGAATGATATCTTAATTTGTGTAATGAACACTATCACCGAAGTTTAACAGTAACCGGATACCCTATTTATACAAGATATTAAAAGTGTAGAAAATCATTTATTTTTAGCATAATCTTAGTTCTAAAAATTCAAATATTCCTAATACTTTATTCAGCAATTCGCTATGAGGTTCTTCTGAGAAATAATCTATGTCAAAATTATCAAAGACAATTAGAGTCTAAAAGACGTTTATATATTGAACTCTTGTCTATGCACACTGATATAAAAATCCACTGAACACATGCAACCTCTCGACGTTGCACAAACTTCATCTTAATCCCTTTGGTGAGTAACGTAACCAAATAGCTATCCAGTGATTTTACATTTTATACCGTAGCTTGTAACATAAACGATGTTTATTTTTTTATTTGAACACATTAATATTGATACAAAGAGGCACCGAATACATATGCGCCACAATTATTCATGAATTATATTGTATTATTTATCTTTATTTTGTGTTGTTAGCCTTCACCAAATCCAAAATCGTATCATTACACGAAAGGTAATTTGGTGGATGAAGTGATAGTTTACACGCAGTATGTTACACATACAGTTCGTTTGTACAAATCATGTAAGTGATTTGTTTGACTGACCTCTAATATTATTTATTTGAAAACATAAATATTGATACAAAGGAGTACCAAATACATATGCGCCACACAATAACAATGAGAATGTGGAGAGATAAGGGATGTAAGATGCGTATAAGAAAAATGGGGAACAACAACGAACAGAAATTAATGTATGATAATAAAATACTACTACTACTACTACTACTACTACTACTACTAATAATAATAATAATAATAATAATAATAGGAAAAGTAGTTGAATTAGCAAAGGTACAACCAGAAAGAATTCTTCCAGTTAAAAAAGTTACGTCCATTTTTTATGAAGAAAGTAAAATAAAGTGACTCAAGATTGTTTAGATAGAACATAGTTGAGAAATAAGGATACACAAAGTGGGAATAAGAGAGAGTAGATAGGTGACGTAGTATATGAAAAAAAGTAAAACAAAAATTAATGTGAATTGTTTGAATTTTAATTAAAGCGAGAATCATATTTTCACTAATTATCGTCATTTCATTTTGTTTTTGTGTGGGTGGTGATATTGCCCGGGTGTCCAGACTGAAACAGGTGGTTTTCTTAGGGGGCCACACCCACAGCCTTCAACTTATAGGTCTAATCCACACAGCAGTAGAACAACGTGCGGAGCCGTAGTCCCATGGTAACCGGTGACTAAGAAGAGGTTCATACGTCATTCGTTCCTTCAGGATCCTGTAGTCCACATACACCATTGATTTGGAAGTAGGCTTTTTCAACCCCTCTACGTGAACTGTCTGTGTCCACCAAGCCGGTTAAATCGCCGGACATCCACTTTTTGTTCTCTCAATTTCGTAAACAATAATAATGCCGCTAGAAGGTAGTGAGTAGGACTTCCGTGGAAGTGGTTGTATACTCGTGGCCATGTGAACGCATTTGGAGAGGGAGAGCGGACTCTCCCCACCCTCGTCCGTACCAGGGCATATATATATATATATATATATATATATATATATATATATATATATATGGACGAAGTATCCGTCTATCGAGCGCAGGACGAGTATCCTGCTCAACATTTTGTTCTGTTCTACTTCATACCTGTAAAACATAGTCTTCAAAAATATACGATATTCGTACTTTACCTTTATTTTATTTTCAATGTCCGCGAAGCATCGCTTGCTTATCTTAGGACCACCAAGTGATCAATGTTGAGGTTAAACACAAGTTTTCAAATCGTCCGATGGGTTAGTAAAACTTCATCGACTAAGGTAGTTGGGTCATGCATTATACACACTCGGCCACGGCTTACTTCGATGCGCTATGTTGGCTGAAGCAAAATAGCATCGAACTAAAGGCGGCTAAATCAAGAAGTGTCATTATTTCTTGAAGTTATTAACTGTTTTCAATTAAGCTGTTTTATTAGGTACAGATTAATTGGTTTAGGTGTTCGCGATTATTGTAACCAGCGGTTAGAAATCTTCCGCTTTGAAAGATAATGTTCGATGTTACAGTTGTGTATCTTGTTTACGTTTCTGGGTGTAAAGCTAATCAACCAATGTGACACGGATCCCTCTTCCGGATAGAATTTCTGTTTAGTTGACTTACAACTCTAAATACAGTTACTTAATCTTAAACACTTAGCAATAATAACTCTGACAGCAAGTTACGCTTTGTATGTGGCATGTTATGATCTGCTACGTTTGGAAAGATTACGACATCACCTAAAACCGGCGAACGGAATGAGTCATCAGCACTACGATAGGACAAGCTCTCCAGCCCGCTCAACTAGATGGAAATTCCAGATTCGGTCGAGAGAAATGTATATTCCACAAGCAGATATAAGCACGAACGAACAAAGACACATATCATGCGTATATGTACAGTACAAGAATTTCACTGGGAACCGTCACGAAATAGCGTACTAAAAGAGGAAACAAACAAATGACACCTAAAGTCTTTCCAAATGGTAGGTACAAACTGAGGGTAAGAGTGGGCGTTTTGGCGCAAAAATAAAGAATTCAAAGTTCCAAATTAAAATTACATAAATGAGGTGTTCGCTAAGTAATTTCTGGGAGTCTAGCATTGTCATCATGGTCACACAAAGATAGATCCATTGATATATTTGAGTTAGCCATAGAGTGTTATACCTTACTATTCAAACTGCGTTTTGCCCCCTCTCCATCGGCTTTTTACAATGAATTTAATTATTCTTGTTTGCTTTCTGTTGTTCTTTTCGGAACATGCATCAATTACTAATTGGAAACAATAATAATATCTCAGCTGGTCTACAATCACAGTTCATTGAGATTGAAAACGTTGTCAACATAAAAGTCAGTCGTCCTACTGATATCGACTTATTTATGACAATACAAACTAATCTTTCGAATAAAGATCGAGTATTCTATACCGATTCTAACTGCTTCCAGGTAATAATAATAATAATGGTATTTATTATAATTTAGTGAATTTTTTGATACCTGCTATATTTTTAGTGGCTTTTAAAATAAATCTTCAGAATTCTTTTCAGTCATATAGTTTAGGTCACAAATCAATCTTAGTTAGACAATGATTGGAAGCAAAAAAAACACTAAGGAGTTGTTTCTTTCCACTATGGAACTCTTAAGCAGTACGCATCCAAGACTCCATTGAATATTGAGCCTAGAATCTTCAGATCTCGTGGTGAGCTCCTATCCTGAAGACGGCTGAGTCAATATCTATTTGCATACTTGTCTAACTTCGACCAATTCGTAGTACTTCACACAACTATCTTTCATTGCCTGTGATAAGTAACTGTTACATACTCGACATGGTTCAACTTCACTGTTCATAACTTCTTTTAGAAAATTCGGAAATCACTCTACAAATTCCTATGACAACGATAAATTCTAGGATTCAAATCACCATAATGTGCCTGATGTTAACGTATAACTGCTACAAAGTCTCTTCACATGATGCTTAATTCTCAAACGAACAGGAGTCAGTAGGGTACGTTACAACATACTCAATAGTATTCGGTCACACTAGCAACTAGACAAACATGACATCGGTCACTACTCAGTGGTCTATCAGTGTAATCCCAACTTATCTTTACGTCATGCTGTAATAACCACGAAAATATTGAGTTGAAAGAATAGTAGGATCTATCAATCTAAGATGTTGAATCACTAATACTTTGAGCTGTACTGACAAATTCAAACTTGGTTTGCTATTCGTCGAATGATCATAATATCGGTGGCTGTCAGTGCCATTGGAATAAATTTACGCAGTTGAAAGAAGTCAGAAGACTCCTGACTAATATCATCTAGTACGTATCAGGTTTTGTAAACTATAAATCCTTTATACATTCAACATTAAAACAAATCACCAGTATGTTTCATATACACCAAAAATATATTTTGTTCAATGAATATCTGACAATTATATTCAACTGCTTTTTGAAATACCGTGTTTTTAGTTTACACAAAGACAGTATCATGATAAAATTCCTTTGCAAGGGAATGTTTATCCAATAGCATGTGGCGCCTATATAGAACAAGAAATGAATGAAAGTGATGATAGGAGCCATGCGAAACAATATCAACGATTAAATCTATTCACTTCACATCCTACTGGTGTAGTCAGTCCTAAAGTTGGTCAAATCAATGTATGGATTGATCGTCGATCTTCACGAGATGACTCACGTGGTGTTCAATCTAATTTACATGGAGAATGGATTGTAAAATCACAATTACATTTATTTACTGAAATAATTTCAATTGATAAAACTCAGAAAATGGTGAGTTTGTTATTTTTATTATTGCTATTATTATTATCATTATTGAGATCATGAACCGATCAATATCAGACTACCATTGAAAACCTGGAAGAAATGAAATTGAATCTTCAGCAGTGCTCATTCACGATTTCGCACTCGGGGTTCGAATTCAGGACGTCTGTGGATTCCAGATTTTCAGCGGTGGTCTAATAATGATCGGTTCATAATCATAATGTGTGTTATGACTATAAAATAAGAAGGCCGTATGCCAATTCGCTATGATTTTATCACGTGAATTATCCACCAATCAGAATACGACTTTTCCAATCTTAGCACTGTGCTAACCAGTGACTTCGACCAGTATGAGCAGTCTAGCACCCTTATTGGTCCCTTGTTCGCCTAGCCTCTCCAATCGAGTCCAGAACACCAATGACAAATTTTGTTATGCGAATCGTTTATTTCAAACATACTCTGCTTATATACCAGACTGACAGACCACAACACACCATAAAATAGAAAATAATATTTGTACAAAATCAAGCCAAACGTGGCTGGAAGCGTGGGAGACAGTACTCAATAAACCGAGTATAATTTAGGAACAATAAATCATATAATAATAATCAATAGGTCAAAATGAAGGTAGTAATAAGATTAATATAGACATAGATAATCCAATTACTGAATAGTTATAGCATAGGAATATAAATAGATTAATAGTCTAATAAGAGGTCCCGTAAGTTATCAGTACTTACTTTTTTCCTAGTATATAACACTTGTGGATCAAAGTTTGAGGTCAAAGGCTCTGGATGTGGCCCCTCTAAGAAAACCACCTGCTTCAGTTTGGGCACCTGAACAGTATCCCATCCCTCACACAAATCAAATGAGATTTGTGCGGTGCACATATATCTAGTACCCCCTTGTACCAATATTCATCTGTTTAAATAAATTAAAAAAAACTGTCAATAATTAAAAATGACATAATGTATATAGTAAAGAGAAGTGTTGTTTCGGTTTTCATTATTTATAATTCATTCCTTTCTATCAAAACATAATTAAATTACTCTACTATTTTTTTTTCTTTTCTTAATTTTTAATGCTTCTCAATATATAACGAATACAGACTATACCAAGTTTAACTATATTCTCTCAACATATATTAAATGATCTATTAAGACCAATACATAAATTCTATGTGAATCAATTACAGTTAAATAGTTTATTTGTAACAGAATATAATTTAATACCTAAATTTGGTTTACCATGTGATTATGAATTAGTTACAATGAAAACATTTCATAATATAAAGATACCAATAAGTAAGTTATTGAAAAAAAGTTTTTTTTTTCTTTTTATTATCAGAAGGGGTTTTCTGTGGAGATTTAGTATTTTCATAGTTGAAATCATTAGTCAATTGAAGCCAGACCACCAGAGAAAAGCTAGAGGCACTGGAAGGTCGTCTCGTCCTATTATGGGATTCCTCAGCAGTGCGCATCCACGATCTCGCTTCGTGAGATTCGAACCCAGGACCTACGAGTCTCGTGCTAGAGTACTTAACCGAAAGACCACTGAGCTGGTGTTTATGTTTGACTCCAACCAATCCACGAAGTTGAGCAACTGTTCACCAATTCTTTTCAGTGAGTTCTTATTTCACAACAGACGTGGTTTGAACTCCACTGGTTACTGCTTCTCCGGGAATTATCTCTTGAAGTCAGTCACTATTATTAGTTTGTGTATGTGTATGTGGGGGAATGGTGTATACTGTGTATACATAGATAATGAACTGTACTTTTATTAATAATTATTTATTGTTGTTGGAGGCGGCCAAACCAAAACGTGGCATCTGCGCTTGAAGTCACTAACTTCTAGTCTAAGCCATGTTGGCAGATGCAGACCACCTGGTTGTGGTCTGCATGACTATCGTAACCAAAAGTTGGAGACTCTAGGTGACATGGCTCAGAATCGATCACAATGACGTAGGTGTATACACTCTTTATCTTCCCTTAAACCTTGAGATTAAAATTGCTTCATAACTTTTTTTCCTTCCTATCCTAGATCTTTCTTTATATACTACCACCACTTAATTAACTATATCTATGAATTCAGTGTTGATCTTGTTGTGCTGACCAGGTATGGCAACTTGGACCGATGCATATATGTGCCTGGTCCTACGTTGTAGCTGACTGACTAAATTCTTCCGATGTACCTACCTTACGTACGTTGTCTGATCAAATTTATTGATTGAAAACGAAAATGTAGCTATTGCAACTAAGCAACTCAGCAGCGCCCATCCATAATCCCACCGCTGCTCGGTCTCGTGTGTGAACGTCTAGCCTCTAGACCATTGAACTGGTATATAATCTTGTGCAAAACTAACGCTAATCACTTCTCAATTATGTATTTAAACGCATAAATATGGGCACAAAGGGATATCAAAATATGTATGTGCTACACAATAAATCATTTAATTTGTGTGTAGTCTGTTACTGCCCGAGTGCACGAATCGAAGCAAGTGGTTTTCCTAGGGGGGACCACTCCCCGACCCTTTGGTTCGGAGGTCTAATTCACGGGACAGTAGGGCAACGTTAGGAGATGTGGTCTCATGGTCCAGGGTCCAAGTATAGGTTCATACGCGATATATTCCTTCAGGATCCTGAGGTTCACATGGACTATTGGTTTGGAATCAAAGTTCTTCCGCTTCTGTACGTAAATTTTGCGCGCGCAGCAACACGGTTTAAGTTTTCTGTCTTCTTAATCTTGGAAACAGCACCCCTGATGCTAGAAGGGGGTGAGTGGAACTTGCCTGATAGTGGCTATATATATATATATATATATATATATATATATATATATATATATATATATATATGGCCATATGAGAGCGTTTGGAGATGAAGAGCAGACTCTTCTCACCCTTCACCGTACCAGGCCATCCAGGGTGTTATTGCACGACTATTTTTGGTTGCCTGTGGTGAATAATTGTTTTTTCATTTCAAATGAATTGTAATTTTATCTATTTCTATTCTGTTCTATCTTTTTTATTAGTGTTTCATGCTGCACCGAATACTCAAGTTGGTGTGATTTTCCGACGTCATGCACCAGTGTGTTATGCTAGAAATTTACCAAAAATTGATTTTTACTCAGAATGTTTCAATAATCATGTTGGACAAAATGAAGTGAGTTAATTGAAGTGAACATATTTCATGATAGCATCAAATGATTTTTCTCCTTGTTTAGTATCCTAGTCTATCTCTTTGTTCTTCGTCCATCACAGTGAAAGTCTCCACTAATTATTCAGTTTATTGATATTCACATTAAATATTTAAACCGCAAAATAGCTCATTTATCTTTGAGTTGTTTAGAGAATCTAAAAGATTATTTATTTGGATGGACTATAAAAATACTTATTTTTCTGAACTAAACTGTTAGATGGGATGTCACTAAAAATCAGTGAACATCGAGCTGATGTCTTGTCCTTGATTGAAATCCCTTAGTTAGTACGCACCTGCAACAATCCCAAGAAGACCGTCATGTTTGTCAGTGAGTTTGTTGTACTCAAACCATAGAATCAGATTTAATACCTAGGAACTACAATCATCACATTTAAATCCAGAATTGGAATTTTACTAATTAACTTCCAAACTTATGTTTCCAGTTTATTTTCTTGAATACTGGCGCTAATTTATCATAGTGAATGTTCACTTTCACTGACATACCAGAGGAAATCGTCCATTGAGGTTGTTGGTTGATAAACATGTGTTCCAATCACTTCACTTGATAAAGAATTCACTACCTCATCAATCGATTTCCCATATTTACGTAGTATTCTGTGTCTAGCCTCAGAATTGCTAACACAATGGACCCAGAATCCACAAGCAGTGGCACAAGCCAACCGTCAAACGTAGAACATCAGTCTTCTCGTCCTTGTTGCGTATTGGCTGTTTAAGGTCGTCTATATGTATTGTTCGGTGTTAGGGCATAACTTTCTCCCCTCCATTTCAATCTCCTTGATCGAGAGTAAATAACAGTCCTATCTTTTTCCGAGGTAGTCTCGCCAACAGATGTACTCTCAATATCACTTTCTTTGATAAATCGGAATAGTTGTCTATCTATTGACGCTCTCTTTTTCATCTCTTTTGTTCTCGCTACCCACCATTGGTCCCAAACATTCCATGGGCTTTTTATCAGTCAGAATGTGGTCAATATAGCTTTTTCAGCAGAGACTTCTTGAAAAACCGACCTCTAATAACTGGTTCTGTCAACATTAAGTAGGACTGTGTGCTGTAAACATTCATCTTGTTTTCTGTCTACACACTTATTTAGCTACTAAAATGTTTATTCAAAATTTCACATTTAGACTAGTAAGATCAATCTGTGTTATAAACCATAAAATGTCAACAATCTCTACAATATCCCCTATCCTAAAATTATTTATTTTTATTGATAACTCTTCTGACTGAACGCTTGAATCGGTTTCCTAAACTCACTTAATAACCCCAAGCTAAATCTACACGACAACTTGAATAAGAGAGAACAGAACGCTTTACCCTAAGGTTAGTTTATGTATAGAAAATTGACGATATCTGTATCATTTCAGATGGACTTGGGTTTCCGGAAGGTTCTGAAACTCTTCTAAATATTGTAGCAGTATAAGTAACCATCCAGTTATACAAGTGTTAAGTCGGCTTTCAGAGAACTCCAACAGATTTTCCAGAGGCTCAAAAAGAGACCCAACCAATCAGAGTACGATAGAATATTCTAGAGTTCTAACGTGGCATGCTACCATTGGTCAGTAGCAATATATGACGTTAAGTGGATTGGCTGAATTAGGATGTTGATTTGACTTAAGCAAACATCTATAAATACCTACGATTTTCTGTATAAGAATGAACCTTGCAGTAAAGCGTTTCTCTGTTACTCGTGTCTTCTCTCTGGTCTTCGAGTCGCTGAGTAGTGCCAGCCCTGGGATTATCCGAATAGCTTAGGATCTGAGTAAAGCGTTCAACGTAAAAGACGTATCAACAAGTGACATGTGACTCTTCTCTGAGAGGTTTCTATTGATTGTTGATTGCATAAAATGTTTCCTAGTATTTTCAGGGCCCCTCTGATGTTTTTTCGAGGAATACTTTGGATCTCCTAGACATTTATCTTTTCATATCAAAACAAAAAAACGCCTTGAGTTTATCAATCGGAATTAAAATAATGTTTTGTGCGAAGTTTAAACTGAAGTTATAGATAACGTGTATGTTATTGTAAACCAGTAGTAAAAATGAGCAATATTATGCAACCGAAAATTGAATTTTATGTGATTCTTCAGGTAAATTGCATAACATACCTGCTCCTAAGGCAGATCGTGTGTTAATGTGCTTTACCGTGTAGCGTTTAGTGTAGCTAGATAATGTGTTTTTTTCATTTTCACTCTCGCTCGAAATCCCAACTCCAAGTTTCTCAAGTTTATAAATAAGAAAGTTGCAAGGTATTGAGTTATAACAGATGTTAGTTTGTATTGAAAATCCTTATCTAATTTGTAGACCTAACTGAAAACTTCAGTTTAACTTCTTATACCCAACCTTAATGTTTTTACATTATAATTAATGTTAATGGGTTATCACCTAACCCCAACTCATAACATTAATTGGACTCTTAATATGTTTGTATATATATGTATATAAAATCGCTGTTTTTATTTAATAGAATGGATTAATGATCACGATCAAAACTGTGATTCTACCAACATTTCATTATTTTATTACTATTCATTGTTTTGGTTATGATTTTATAAAATAAACAAAGGATGATTGCTTATTCGTTATCGATTTTATGTCCGGCTTCTATCACGTGAATTATCCACCAATGGAATTACGACTTCTCCGACCTCAACACTGTGACAGTCAATGATGTTCGATCGGCATGAGTAATCTAGTGTCCTTATTGGTCCTTTATCCGCCTATCCCTTCCACTTGAGTCCAGAACACCAATGACAACTTCTGTTATGCGAATCGTTTATTTCAAACATACTCTGTTTATATACCAGACAGACAAACTACGTTGCACCATAAAATAGAAAATAATATTTGTAGAAGATCAGGCCAAATGTGGCTGTGAATGTGGGATACAATAATCAATAAACTGAATGTAATCTGAGAACAGTAAATCGTATAATTGATAGATCAAAATGAAGCTTATAATAAGGTGAATATAGATATACACCATCTAATTACTCAATAGTTATACAATCAGAATATATAGATATATAGAATAGTTGTCCATTAATAGGTTCTGGGATTTACCCGTACTTTTGTCTTCCCTAGGATATAAGTTTTAAATCTAGGCTTCTTTTGTTTGATTAGCTAATAATAATTCACCCATGATTGTCAGTATATTATACTTTTACCCAACTCATCTTTATCTTTTCTTATTACAGCTTAATATACATGAATTATTTGGCTCAATTCAATTAAAACATGCAATACAAACTAATTTAACTATGATTCCATCATCTATCTCTTCTATGATGGGTAATAGTAGATATCAATCAATGAAGATGAATTATATTCATGTGAATTCAATGGAAATTGAAGCTTACTATCTTGTTTAATTATAATTATTCATATTGTTATCATCATTTTTAAATTTTCTTTTTTATACTTCACAGCTCTGTTGCTTTTTGTTTTTCTTGTGCAAATTAATCCTTATGTTTTCTTTTCGTTTGTTTTTTGAAATGTCCCATGGCAACAACTTTACTTCAGCTATCTCTCCTCTCTTGTGAATGTAAATACATGCGTTTACATAGGATATAGCCATAATGATGTTGGTCAAATTGTATAAATTACTCATGTGTTTGACTTTTGTAATATGCTGACGGAATTTTTTCTTTTCCTATATACATATATGCATCATTATTACATCAGTCTTTCGTCTAATGCTCATCCTTAATTTATTATTTATTTATTTGAACACATCAATATTGGTACAAAGGGGCACCGAATACATATGCGCCGCACAAATCTTATTTGATTTGTGTGAGGGCTGTGATACTGCCCAGATACCCAAACTGAAGCAGGTGTCATCCTTAATATGTATATGATGTATGATACAATATATATTACTGAACTGTTGACCACTTTGTAATAATATTTATCGTTTATAATTGTTTTATTCAGAAAAGAAGTTTTCGGTTATTGTGTTAATCATTTCAAGTGAATGTGAAAAGAAATTTGTAAACTATATGGGTTTTAATATCAGAAGGGGTTTTGCGGATATAATAGTTATTTCAATAGTTGAGATCAACAGTCAATTGAATCTAGACCACCATGTCTCGACCGTTGCTGCTACCTTGACATGGTGGTCGGGCTTACCTATCGTGATGAATCAATCGAGCTATATTGGCTGGAACAATCGTTCCTCAAGGTCCTACCATGCTAGGCAGGTCGTTTGAAAAGCGGTGAGACTAAAAGCAGCAAACCGAAGGCGAAGTCGTACTGCTGACTGTACAGAGGTGTGACAGCAGTAAGGTGTTTCCTTCAGACAACCAGCATGACAGCGATGCTGCCTTCCCACAAGGAGCAGTGGGGTTAGAAAAGGTCGACCCTAAAAATGCACACCTCGCCCTATCCCACGGATATCCGTCTCCGGCGGTAAGGTCCTTTGAAGTACGGAGCTAACACAAAACCTACCCACAAAAAGGTCGTGTGTGACCGACCTCAAGCAGTTGTCCCTTGGGCACTGCGGTCAAGCTCTCAGGTCATTAAGACCACTTCTAACCCAATTTCCTTTTCAGGTACCCCCAGAAGAACCCTGGAAGTGATAACTGCCCTCATTCCTCTAACAGCACTCAAGACCACTGTATTCATAATCAATCTTCTTCTTCAATTCCTACTATTGTTTCTACCTTGACTTTCAACACTAAACTTCCTCTTTCGGTTTCCTCCTCAAGTGTCACCATGGCCAACGATTCTAGTGCGCGAAACGCTGTCCCAGGTCTACTAAAACCTCTCTCCAAACTACACATTGGAGCCTTCAACGTACGTACCCTATGCCAAATCGGTCAACAGGCCTCCTTAGCTAAAACCCTAGAATCTCGTACCATTGATGTATGCTGTGTCTCCGAAACACGCATACAGGATCCCAGTGTGGTCATTCACTCGGAAGGATAGGGACACACGTCGTTGCTTTTTCGTCGTTTCTGCCTACGCTCCCACCGACTGCAGCCATGATGAAGTGAAAGATGACTTTTACAGAAAGCTCTCTGAGCTTCTTCAGAAAGCTAAGCGCTCAGACATAGTACTCATAGCGGGTGACTTTAATGCTCAGGTAGGCAGCTTAAATCAAACAGAAAGACATTTAAGTGGGTGTTTTAGTATTCCGGCTCAACGAACCGATAATGGTGATCGTCTGTTGCAACTATGCTCAGACAATCGTTTATTTCTAGCAAGCACTAATTTTAAGCATAAGGAGAGACATCGCCTAACGTGGCGACCACCTGCACCAAACCAACGATGGACTCAAATAGACCATATTGCCATCAGTCATCGTTGGAGAGGCTCAATAGAAGATTGTCGCTCGTATTGGAATACTTGTGTAGACTCTGATCACGCTTTAATACGAGCGCGCATTTGTCTGCGCCTCAATGGACGCAGGTAAAGTACACTAAGAAGACTCATTTGGATTGAACTGGAGGACGAGAAATCCAAATGTAAATTCCAATAACAACTGAGTTAACATTTAGGCAGTTCTGTAAACGAGACTGACCCAGATGCTGTTTGGAAAGATGTACTAACAGATGTGGAAACAGTGGTAGCATCTATTAGTCATTTAAACCATAGGGCTCCAAAAAACCAATGGATTTCTTCCAAGTCTATTTCACTGATGGATTCGCGTAAACTCATCCCATCAGGCTCTGAACATGACGAAGAGTGTAAACAAATTAGATCCAGGTTAACTAAATGTCTAAGGAACGGTCGTGAGCAGTGGTGGGCAACGAAAGCAAAAGAGATGGAAAAGGCAGCGGCTGTAGGGAACACCAGGCAACTATTCAGACTAATAAAAGAAACCGGAATTAAGAAGTCAAGTGTAAGTGAGACAATCTCCGAAAAAGACAGAACTCTTATCTGCTCTCAACCCAAACGTTTAGAACGATGGGCGGAACAATTTAAGGAGCAGTTTAGCTGGCCTTCAGCTACTTCACAACTACCCACTACTCCTAGAAAACTTGAATGGAACATTGAAGTAGGCCCTCCGACCCTACTTGAAGTTCAAAAGGCTATAGGTAATCTGAAACGAGGAAGAGCAGCTGGTCCTGATGGATTGGCTCCAGAGGTCTTTAAATATGGTGGTCCGATTTTAGCGATTAGGTTGACTAATATTCTGGCTAAAATCTGGGAGACGGATGTAATCCCATCCGACTGGTCACAATCACTGATTGTCCCAATATATAAGATGGGGTCAAAATCATCCTGCGATAACCATAGAGAGATTAGTCTGACTAACATAGCATCTGAAATACTAGCCTCAATAATTATCGGGCGCCTAACTAAGACTCGTGAACTGCAAACACGAGAAATTCAGGCTGGCTTCAGACCTGGTCGTGGCTGTATCGACCACATATTCACCATTCGTCAAGTTTTAGAGCACAGACATGCTTATCGGCGTCCGACAATGATAGTTTTTCTTGACTTGAAAGCAGCATTTGACTCTGTAGACCGAGAGGTTCTGTGGCAGTGTCTGTCATTGAAAGGTGTACCTGAGAAGTACATAAACATTGTGAAGGCTCTTTACTCGAACACTACCAGTCGAGTGAGAGCTTATGGCGAACTGTCTTATGATTTTACAACCTCAAGTAGTGTCCGTCAAGGCTGTCCACTATCCCCATTTTTGTTTAACTTCATTACAGACATATTGCTGGAAATAACACTCTCTTCGACTGAATTTTCAGGAATTGATCTCCTACCAGGGGGACCACTAAGCGACTTAGAATGCGCAGATGACATAGTCCTGTTTGGTGAAGACGCTGGCAAAATGCAGAGTCTTCTGTTGGAACTGAGTAATAATGCCAGGATGTTTGGGATGCGTTTCTCCCCATCCAAATGTGAAACATGGCCATTAAGAGTAGAATATACTCGTTGATTACTAGTATTTTACCACAGATGCCTTAGAAATATTGCTCTCATCTGCTGGGACCACCGAGTATTTAATAGTGAGGTTAGACACAGGGTATTAGGAAATTATGGTAAATCAGTTGATGAGGTGATGAATCTTCATCGACTGAGATGGTTAGGCCACGTGTTACATATGCCTGAACACCGATTACCACGACGCGCTATGCTGACTAGTGTAGTGGATGGTTGGAAAAGAGTTAGGAGCGGCCAAACCAAAACATGGCATCAGTGCTTGAAGTCACTAACTTCTAGTCTGAGCCATGTTGGCAGATGCAGACTACCTGGTTGGGGTCCGCGTGACTATCGCAACCAATGGTTGGAGACGGTGTGTGACATGGCTCAGAATCGATCACAATGGCGTAGGTGTATACACTCTTTATCTTCCTTTGAACCTTGAGACTAAAATTGCTTCATATCTCTCTTCCTTCCTATACTATATCCTTATATACAACCTATAATTTATATACTACTACCACCACTAAATTAATTACTTCTATGAATCAGGTGTTGATCTTGTTGTACTAACCAGGTATGGCGACTTGGACCGATGCATAAATGTGCCTGGTCCTACGTTGTAGCTGACTGACTGAGACCACTATGTAAAACGTGGAAGTACTGGACCGCCGTTTCGTTCTATTGTGGGTCTCCTCAACAGTGCGCATCCACGATCACTCCTCGTTGGATATTATCTCACTGAAGACGATAGTGAATGTGTCGCTCAATTTCGTGAATCGGTTAGTTAGATATTAACATCGTTGGATGCTGGCTCAGCAGTTTAGAGGTTACGCGCGAGTTTGGTAGGTCCTTTGTTTGAATTTCGCGAGGTGAGATCGTGGAGTCCCACAATAGGACGAGACGGCCGTCCAGTTCTTTCACGTTTCTCATGGTGGTCTAGCTCCAATTGACTCGTGATCTCAACTATCGAAATTATCTAGGTTTTAGTTGATAAAGTGATGAGCAATAGGAAACTAGGTTCGACGTTTTAGGTTTTGTACTAGTTGACAGTTGTTAGTCAACTTAATGTTCTTCAAATTTGAAAGGAACTAATAGTCTTTGAATGACTCAGATCATCCACCTCGCTAAGCTTGCCAGTTCATGTTATCGTTTAGTTGTTAAAGCCACGACAAATCTGTACGATTTAGATATTTACAACTGACAGATCATTAATCAACGATCATTATCATACTTTTCTAATCATATTGGTACCATTCCAATTCTGTTGCCCATGTTGTTAATATGACCCACTAGTTTAAGTTACTTAACATAACTAGAGAATTGTAACCCATGTTTAAACACACTCAGGCAATATGGTTCACAGAATTATATGACAAGACAAACATAAGTTTGGTCACTATTCAATAATATATATATATACCACGAAGTCAAGATGAAAAGCTAATTGAAAAGAAATATTGTGTAACCCGTCTGGATTCGTTCGGTGTCTCCTTTGTTCACATTATTTGGTGAATTCGCTAAAATAACATTCAACCCTATTTTTAGCACTTGGTATATTTATTTGAAACTCGGCTGTATCTATGTTCTTTAATTGAACAGTGAGTGTTTAACTTTTTGATTGAATCTGAAAACAGACCATGGCCAAATATCTACCTGATTAGATGAAAACATCATACCTGTTCACATGATCTTATCTAGTCAAAAAACAATGTCTTAGAGGTATTAAGCACGCACTGCGTACATGTTTTTTCTTAGATAATTACTGTTTATATGAACTAACTGCACAAAACTATGCTTTCGACAAGATACTGACAGCAGACAAATTGATCTTTTCAGATGGAAGTCCTACGTTTAGAAAATCACTAGTGATATAATTTCCGATATGTGTACAATCATTTGTTTAATAAATAACGTCAAGGATTATTATTAACCCTGTAGGACACCTGTATAATGATTGTTTACACAAGTCTAATTTTGATTTCGACGTGTAATCTCAACACTTTGTTTGAACTGATAGCTTATGACTTTGAGAAACAGACACCTGATGTTAACAACTAACATACAAGATTTTATTGACAGATTATTTGTGAATTTTTTGCCGGTTACTGACAACTGAGAATCTAGATCGCATCACTAGTAGTGAGTAGCATCGAGAGCAAGCTCAGATATCATAGAAATCATTATGGGACATGGATGCAGGTATTAAGAACGTAATACCAATAGATCTAGGTCTCCTGATGATTAAAACTTGTCAAAAAATACATACCTGCAAGATTGGTAGGGGGTGACGCTCCCTGAGGCATTCCAGTCTACATCACACGGCCTGACAGTATGAAACGATACTACTCCGCTATTCAAGAATTAACTGATCTATTGTCCAACTGAGAAAATTATATTGAATGATCACTTGAATAGTAAATATTATTGTGCTTATGTAGTCGTTTAGTATATAATCTCTCATAATACTAATCAGGCTAATAAACACATTGTAGCCTAATTAAGAAAATACAGCCAGCAATAGACATCCATCCATTAGTAGTCAGTGTCCAACCAATTTGTTATTTATATAACAGAAACACTTTCAAGTACGGTATTAAGTCATCAACTAGCATACTCTCAAGATGGTGCTTGGAGGAGGTCAACAGGAAATCCTGGACCCGGGCTTCGTGCTACTTGGCACTCATCAGCAAGGTGTACCCGTAATCTTGAGGGAACTGGTGCTCCCTGACGGATTCGATCCCGTGTTACTCACCTTCACAGTCAGAGACGTTACCATTGAGATACTCCGGCCACGACCGACCTCCTGTAGGACTGAAATGTAATGACAATTGATTGATCACTGGGTTGTGATTAATGTCATGCGTGTCAAGTCCTTCTTAGTGCTGATCAAATGCTATAGAGCCACCTAGACTAGTGGCCACATTACAACTTGATCGATAGCATTCGATCAGCACTAAGAAAGACTTGACACGCATGACATTAATCACAACCCAGTGATCAATCAATTGTGATTAGCATACTCTAAATGTTAGAGATTCCGAAATAGTGAAACGCTAATTTGATAACACACTTAACAATAATAAATTTATGTCTATATTTTAAAATTAACGAAAAAAAATTGAACATTGTCAATATACAAAGAAAATTATCATTCCATTAATTTACTTATCAATAGTAACCAATTACATGAATATGTATACGCATGTAATGATAATAATAATAATAATAAGACAAGCATTGGGGAACAGACAAGTCAGAAAACGAAAATGACCACAAATTGACTTCTTTTTTTTGTTGAATAAAATTATGATTTCAGTTAGTAGTAGGAGACGATTTTAAAAGAGAAAATAAAATCAGATAACTCAAGTTCACTAAGTAATGAATATAATAATTCAACGGGAAAAACAAAAGAGTGGAAAATTCAATTGATTAGACAGTGATTAAATTATGTTATTAAAAAAAAAGAAACTCTTTGGAAGGGAACAAAGAGAAAAATACCATCAATAGAGGCAAATGGAAAGATAATACCTTGTTAGATTGATCGTATTGTTTATATTTAACAATTAGTTACTAAGTGCTGTTGTTGTTTTTTGAATGTGTATATCTCTAAACTGTATACTGTCATTGTCATTGTAAGAGATATATACGAGATTAATTATAAAAATTATAATAACACTAATTAAATATGAATGATTTAGGAAATAATTATTGATGAATGAAGAAAAAAAACAAACAAACCAAATTGAACAATAAATTATGAATGAACAAAACAAAACAACTTAAGTATTTTTCTTCTTTCTCTAACACCCCCCCCATCAACTTCTTTTCATCTATTTTCAATATACACAATAGATAAAAAGAAATTTAACAAAGAAAATAGATTGTAGAAGTGTTTGCGTAGATAGAATAGTATAATGAAAAACAAAAAGCAATTTGAAAGTAAAGTTTTTCATTTTAATATAAGAAAAACAAAAAAAAGAAGAAAAAAATCTTATTTAAATTATTTTCTATAACACTTTGTATTTGTTACTAAGATTTTTTTTTATTTATTATGGTTCAATTATTGTGTGTAGTATCCTGAATGTTTTTTTTTTCATAATTTTCTTGATTATTTACTTGAGTGAATGCTTTTAGTCAAAGTGAAAATTGATTTTTGTTTTGAAGATAATAATATATTGGTGTTATAATTAGTTAGCACTTCGATATGTGCTACACTGACTATTGTAAATTCTTACAAAAATCTTTTAAAAATAAAAATTACACTGTAATAATACTCAGTAATTATTCATTTGAATGAATAAATATTTTTGTAAATGTAAAATACAACAGAATAATTGAACATTGAAAATATTCTAAACAATCTCAACTCTTCTGCTGTATTCACTTAATGTATCGTTACAAAAAAAAAGAGGAGTATAAATGAAAGGAAGACCATATAATAAATACAAGAAATGGCGCCAATATTGAATATAAATTCAAAGAGATTAAAGTATATAGAACAGACATATTTACTGAATACATAATGAAATGCATATACAACATAGTTTAATGTATATGCAAAAGATTTATATGATATGACAGTATTGCATTCATAATTCGAAACCAACTCGAATCGGATTAAACATGTTTATAATTATACATATCAATATATTTCCTTTGATTGACAAATCATAATAGAAAATCAATTATGAATACGTGTTTATTGTTTCCATTAGTATTTTCATGTAAACATTTTCTACATGTTAAAAAGGATTATTTGAAGAAGCTGGAAAAAAATGTTCGTATTATGTCATCATTCAATAAAACCTATAATTATTAATAGAAGAGAAAATAATGAGTAATCTTGATTTTCAGAAGGAGTTTTGTGGAAGTTTCAGTATTTGCATGAGTCAATTGAAGCTAAACAACCATGGAAAACTTGGAAGCATTGGACGGCCATTTTGTCCTATTGTGGGACTCCTCAACAGTGCGCGAGATTTTAACCCAGGACCTATCAGCCTCGCGTGCGAGCGCTTAACTTCTAGACTACTGAGCCGGCATCCGATGGTGTTAATCATTATTTATTCATTTATATTTTCCTAGTAAACAGTTCCAACAACAAAGTCAATAATATCAATACATGTTGAAATTAATTTATGGACAGTTGAATTCACAAGTCGATCTAACCTAGATCACCATTGAAAACCTGAAGGCACTGAACAGCCGTTTCGTCATAGTACGGGACTCCTCAGAATTATGCATCCATAATCCAACATGCAGGACTCGAACGCAAGACCTTCGAACTCGCGCGTGGACGCCTAAACTCTACACCATCGAGCCGGCAATAGTGGATGTTAATGTCTAACTTCAATCCATCTATGATTTTGTACAACCATTTATCCATTTCTGAGGTGGATCATTGTCTGAGACCTAACACTGATAGGACTCCACTGACCACGGTTTCTCACTTGAACTCCTGGAAATCCATCTTGAAGCTAGTCAGTACTTACAAGCTTCCATTTGTGTTCTAGCTTAGATCGACTTGTGAATTCACTGTGAAAATACTACCATCTCCACAAATCTCCTTTCTGTTAATTATTCAATTTAGAATTCTATAGATGAATATTGTTAGTGATGGATTGACATAAAATCTAATAGAATGTTACAATTTTAATTGATTTATGGTACATATTTTGTCGTAAGACGGTTCTGTCGAATAAATTAGACATAAACCAAATGAATGTAATTTGTAAGTTGTTTTTCACTGACTAGATCATCACATCATCATCAAATGATCATTCATAACATCCAATGAATAATGTAACTAGTATGATTACATTTATTTACATTTTGATTGTGGTAAAACTGTTCTACTTTATCTAGAATTGTATTAATTCATTTTCATTCTCTGAAGGCATTGACTTACAATGTCATGAAGTCAGAAAATTACCGCTAATATATATGATATAATTAACTGTTGTTTGGAGTTGAGTGAAAAAGCTTTAGTAATCAAATAGAATGTTTAGAGACCTAATGGTTGAAGGAGATATATAGTAAAAAATATGTTCGAGTTCTAATTGAAGTATTTATTTATCTGTATGCGACTGATAGTTGAACTCACTTATTGGACACAAATGGTAACACTATACTTAAAACAGTTTCTTTATAATTATTTGTTGACACATATATGTGTATGTACGGGACATAAAACTGTCCCGATTCTGACACTGAAGCATTTAGTGTTATATACAGACGACTGCCAGAACATTCAACTGAACGACCTAATCCAGAAGACATTGAAGCAGCGTCAAAAGATCCGGTCTCATTGTAACAACGCCAGAACAGGTTCATACAAACTTTATTCCCTTAGGATGGTGGTGATAAATACTTTCCTAGGTGAACTTTCCGTATCTATCAATTCGCTGTGATCACCAGATCTTCGCTTTTGGTGTTCTTACGTTCATAAAAATAAATAACCCTCATCTATATGAATTCAGTGAGTAGTATTTCAAGAGAGTAGACTATAAACAAATATCCACGTCTGCTTGAAACAAATCTTCCTAAACTAAACCATATCTCTATTTATTTACTAACTGTGCTAATTATCTATCACGTTACAATATCGCTTCACTTTTCATACCCTTTTGTGTTATAATTTAATGCGTTTCATGAGATAAAAATAAGGGAACGATATTTGATGAATTATCAAATGACTATTTGTTATTAAACTGATGGATGTTTGAAATCAGTAAAGACTTCAATTTCCGTTTATAAACACGTACTACTGATTTATTTGATAAAGTTTCATAGAGAAAAAAAGATCAATATTAAATCGTATTTTTTATAGACCTTAGTTAGACCATCATTAAAAAACATATAAACACTAGATGGCCATTTTTTGTAGTATGGGACTTCTCTTTAGCATTGTGCCTCACTTTATTCCGAACCTGGGAACCGGACCCAATATCTTTGGTCTGAAATGCAAACGCTTAACTACAAATAAGATAATCAAGATGGGTCAATAAATAAACTTACTAGTTACACCATCATCTGTGAATAATTGATGTTTTTGTCCTTTTGAAGTGCTGTCACCAACACCAGAAGCTTGATATTGTGATTGTAAAAATGAACTTTGTCTAGAATTATGAATATTATTAGCATAATGAAACTGTTGTTGTTGTTGCATAAACTCTTGCGATGAATGACGATCAGTCAATAAAGTTGAATTCATTTGTGACCTGGATAAACCACCACCACCGATGGTGTTATTATTCATCTGTGGACCACTAATTACTGATGGTTCACAACTTGTCTGACGCATTAATCCACCTCTTTGTGGTAGTCTAGACTGATGATGATTACTAGTATTATTGCTATTAGTATTATTCAATAATTGTGGTGTTACAACATTAGGCAAAACTTTAACACCAAACATTAATTGACTATTAATAGTACCATTTGGATTACTATCCATATTATTCCCAGGTATAGGACTATCACGGCCAACAATACCATTATTATTATTATTACTACTATTGCCAGAATACATACGAGAATAATGTGAAATGTTGTTGTTCATAGATGATACAGAAGGAGCACAGGATAAAGGAAACATTTCTTGTTGTTGCCTGTAATGATTTTGTTGTAGCATTGATGCAACAGAACAATTAGGACTTGTTCGATGAAGAAAGTTCAACTGAGGCTGTTGTTGGTAATGATGATGAATATTACTATTATTATTATTGGTAGTAGTAGTAGTAGACTGTTCATACATTAATGATGAATTAAATGGTGATGGATTTTTATTACCAGCAAAATCGGATAAATTCAATCGTGAAGAATGTTGATGATGATTAGTTGTTAATAAACCATTTTTATTATTCACAGTATTGATATTGTTTAATGAAGAATTATGTGAAACTAATTCACGACTAACACTGCTTGAACGTCTAGGTGGATGTACTAATGGACGATCATATAGACGATTACTAACATGAGCTTGTTGATAGGCCTAGAATGATTTACAATTAAAATATAATGAGCAATATACAATTAATTTATCACTGAACAATAGTTAATGTTATATTTGTCTAATCTTTAAAGTGTTGATTGAATTCTCTTAATATCCATAGTATACAATAGGCCAAATTGACTAGATATTATGAGTGCTCCCAAATGCGCTGGTACGGGAGAGTCCGCTCTCCCTCTCCAAATGCTTTCACATGGCCACGTGTATATAGCCCCTGCCAGAGAAGTCCTACTTAATGCCTTCTCGTGGTGGGGGTGTTGTTCACGAAAGTAAGTGGAAGTAAAGTGAATGTCCGGCTCTTTAACCGGGTTGATGGACATGGTGAATCCACCTAGGGGAGTTGAAAAACCTTCATTCCAAACCAATGGTGCACATGGGTTACAGTAACCTGAAGGAAGAAATGGCGTATGAATCAATCGTTGGTCACCAGCTACCATGGGACTGCATCTCCTCACGATGCTCCACTGCCTTGTGGATCAGACTTTTAAGTCAAAGGCTCCGGGTGTGTCAAATGAGATTTGTGCGGCGCATATGTATTCGATGCTCCTTTGTACCAATATTTATGTGTTCAAATAAATAAAATCAGTCAGTCAGCTACAACGTAGGACCAGGCACATATATGCATCGGTCCAAGTTGCAATACCTCGTTAGCACAACAAGATCAACACCGAATTCATAGAAATAATTAATTTAGTGGTGGTAGTAGTATATAAATTATAGGTTGCATATAAGGATATAGTATAGGAAGGAAGAGAGATATGAAGCAATTTTAGTCTCAAGGTTTAAAGGAAGATAAAGAGTGTATACACCTACGCCATTGTGATCGATTCTGAGCCATGTCACCCAGAGTCTCCAACCATTGGTTACGATAGTCACGCGGACCCCAACCAGGTAGTCTGCATCTGCCAACATGGCTCAGACTAGAAGTTAGTGACTTCAAGCACTGATGCCACGTTTTGGTTTGGCCGCTCCTAACTCTTTTCAAACCATCCCCAGTACTAGTCATCATAGCGCGTCGTGGTAATCGGTGTTCAGACATACGTAACACATGGCCCAACCATCTCAGTCGATGAAGATTCATCACCTCATCAACTGATTTACCATAATTTCCTAATACCCTGTGTCTAACCTCACTATTACTTACCCGGTGATCCCAGCAGATGCGAGCAATATTTTCAAGGCATCTGTGGTCAAATACTAGTAACCTACGAGTATATTCTACTCTTAATGGCCATGTTTCACAACCGTAAAGTAGAACAGAGCGAACTGATGCGCAGTATACTCGTCCTTTAATTGATAGACGGATATCTCGTCTTCGCCATAAGTGACGTAAGTTGGCAAAAGCCAAACGAGCTTTTTGAATCCGTGCTGAGATTTCGTCAGACACCAACCCATTAGGGCTGATCAGACTTCCAAGATAAGTGAAGTTGTCCACGCGTTCGACTACTTCACTCCCTATCCTTAGTTCAGGTGTTGATGCAGGCCAGTCCTGGAGTAACAATTTACATTTGGATGGGGAGAATCGCATCCCAAACATCCTGGCATTATTACTCAGTTACAACAGAAGACTCTGCATTTTGACAGCGTCTTCACCAAACAGGACTATGTCATCTGCGTATTCTAAGTCGCTTAGTGGTCCCCCTGGTAGGAGATCAATTCCTGAAAATTCAGTCGAAGAGAGTGTTATTTCCAGCAATATGTCTGTAATGAAGTTAAACAAAAATGGGGATAGTGGACAGCCTTGACGGACACCACTTGAGGTTGTAAAATCATAAGACAGTTCGCCATAAGCTCTCACTCGACTGGTAGTGTTCGAGTAAAGAGCCTTCACAATGTTTATGTACTTCTCAGGTACACCTTTCAATGACAGACACTGCCACAGAACCTCTCGGTCTACAGAGTCAAATGCTGCTTTCAAGTCAAGAAAAACTATCATTGTCGGACGCCGATAAGCATGTCTGTGCTCTAAAACTTGACGAATGGTGAATATGTGGTCGATACAGCCACGACCAGGTCTGAAGCCAGCCTGATTTTCTCGTGTTTGCAGTTCACGAGTCTTAGTTAGGCGCCTGATAATTATTGAGGCTAGTATTTCAGATGCTATGTTAGTCAGACTAATCTCTCTATGGTTATCGCAGGATGATTTTGACCCCATCTTATATATTGGGACAATCAGTGATTGTGACCAGTCGGATGGGATTACATCCGTCTCCCAGATTTTAGCCAGAATATTAGTCAACCTAATCGCTAAAATTGGACCACCATATTTAAAGACCTCTGGAACCAATCCATCAGGACCAGCTGCTCTTCCTCGTTTCAGATTACCTATAGCCTTTTGAACTTCAAGTAGGGTCGGGGGGCCTACTTCAATGTTCCATTCAAGTTTTCTAGGAGTAGTGGGTAGTTGTGCAGTAGCTGAAGGCCAGCTAAACTGCTCCTTAAATTGTTCCGCCCATCGTTCTAAACGTTTGGGTTGAGAGCAGATAAGAGTTCTGTCTTTTTCGGAGATTGTCTCACTTACACTTGACTTCTTAATTCCGGTTTCTTTTATTAGTCTGAATAGTTGCCTGGTGTTGCCTACAGCCGCTGCCTTTTCCATCTCTTTTGCTTTCGTTGCCCACCACTGCTCACGATCGTTCCTTAGACATTTAGTTAACCTGGATCTAATTTGTTTACACTCTTCGTCATGTTCAGAGCCTGATGGGATGAGTTTACGCGAATCCATCAGTGAAATAGACTTGGAAGAAATCCATTGGTTTTTTGGAGCCCTATGGTTTAAATGACTAATAGATGCTACCACTGTTTCCACATCTGTTAGTACATCTTTCCAAACAGCATCTGGGTCAGTCTCGTTTACAGAACTGCCTAGATGTTAACTCAGTTGTTATTGGAATTTACATTTGGATTTCTCGTCCTCCAGTTCAATCCAAATGAGTCTTCTTGGTGTACTCTTCCTGCGTCCAGTGTGGCGCAGACAAATGCGTGCTCGCATTAAAGCGTGATCAGAGTCTAAACAAGTATTCCAATACGAGCGACAATCTTCTATTGAGCCTCTCCAACGATGACTGATGACAATATGGTCTATTTGAGTCCATCGTTGGTTTGGTGCAGGTGGTCGCCACGTTAGGCGATGTCTCTCCTTATGCTTAAAATTAGTGCTTGCTAGAAATAAACGATTGTCTGAGCATAGTTGCAACAGACGATCACTATTATCGGTTCGTTGAGCCGGAATACTAAAACACCCACCTAAATGTCTTTCTGTTTGATTTAAGCTGCCTACCTAAGCATTAAAGTCACCCACTACGACTACTATGTCTGAGCGCTTAGCTTTCTGAAGAAGCTCAGAGAGCTTTCTGTAAAAGTCATCTTTCACTTCATCATGGCTGCAGTCGGTGGGAGCGTAGGCAGAAACGACGAAAAGGCAACAACGTGTGTCCCTATCCTTCCGAGTTCTTACGGAGCCATTTAGCCGGACAGCACACAGGCGACTGTTAACGGGGATCCATTCTAATAGTGCCTGTTCTGCCCTTGTACTTAGTGCTATGCCTACACCTGCAAGTCCGCGAGAACTAGCCAACGGGTCGCCAGATACACGGAGGGTGTATTTCGTTGGCTGTCCATTTTGGCGAGGTGAGGTCAAGTGAATAACCACACTGGGATCCTGTATGCGTTTTTCGGAGACACAGCATACATCAATGGTACGAGATTCTAGGGTTTTAGCTAAGGAGGCCTGTTGACCGATTTGGCATAGGGTACGCATGTTGAAGGCTCCAATGTGTAGTTTGGAGAGAGGTTTTAGTAGACCTGGGACAGCGTTTCGCGCACTAGAATCGTTGGCCATGGTGACACTTGAGGAGGAAACCGGAACAGGAAGTTTAGTGTTAAAAGTCAAGGTAGAAGGAATAGTAGGAATTGAAGGAGATTGATTATGAATACAGTGGTCTTGAGTGCTGTTAGAGGAATGAGGGCAGTTATCACTTCCCGGTTGCTCACACCGTGGAAGGGTTCTCCTGGGGGTACCTGAAAAGGAAATTGGGTTAGAAGTGGTCTTAATGACCTGAGAGCGTGACCGCAGTGCCCAAGGGACAACTGCTTGAAGTCGGTCACACACGACCTTTTTGTTGGTAGTTTCTGTGTTAGCTCCGTTCTTCAAAAAAAAACCTTACCGCCGGAGACGGATATCCGTGGGATAGGGCGAGGTGTGCATTTTTAGGGCCGACCTTTTCTAACCCCACCCCTCCTTGTGGGAAGGCAGCATCGCTGTCATGCTGGTTGTCTGAAGGAAACACCTTACTGCCGTCACACCTCCGTACAGTCGGCAGTACGATTTCGCCTTCGGACCTTGGGTTTGCTGCTTTTAGTCTCACCGCTCTTCAACCGACCTGTCTGGCATGGTAGGACGTCGAGGAACGATTGTTCCAGCCAGCATAGCTCGATTGCTTCATCACGATAGGCAAGCCCGACCACCACGTCAAGGTAGCAGCAATAAAATGAATATATATTATGAGTGTTATCTTTTGATGATTAGTAGATGGAGTTTGGTAGAAAGAAATTTGAGGTCAAGATTTTGTGTTAGTTCTTGAAATAATGGATCAATTAGATATCGATTAAATGATAAACTCATGTGGTTGATTAAAATATCACATCTTTTACTATGGCATGATATATATAGATATATATATGAAAAGTCAGTTTACTGATAAATCACTTTGTAATAGTTATAGACGATGATATTTATATTTGCTAGACAAATTCTTTGGTATTTTTAAAAGAAATAACGAAATAGTGTTTTTAATCAAACAAAGAAAAAGAACAAAGTCAATTTAAACCAACCTGACTACCACGACGTATTAAACCTGGTGTAACTGAAGCATAGTTGGAGTTTTTCACAGAAGATGGACTTAATGGAGGAGCAGGAGGAGGAGGAGATGAACAGACATTACCAGAGGATATTGTTGAATCCAATGATTTTTTAAAGTACTCTGACTGACGTCGTCGAAATGTTGAAGTACCAGAATTAACAATTGTACTTATGTAACCGATAGCATTGCCATCAATAGTACAAGTAGAAGATTGTGATGCGTCACATAAATTATTATTAATATCGTTCCCATTCGAAGATAATGACGATGATAACGTAGTAGCTAAATACCCTGATGACTGTGCTATTGATGTAGGATGAAGGAAAGAGGAACTAGTTTGATCGGTCGTTATCAAATGATTGTATTCCCATGAACTAGAATTATTATTATCATTACTATTATTATTATTATCCACACTAGACTTATGTATAGTATTACACAATGAACGAGAATTAATCTCTTGTCCTCCACTATCGCAACTGACATTATCAAGGGTTGTTATCGGTGGCCAAACGAAATGAGATGATTGTGGTAAACCTATTTTTAAAAAAATAAACCATAAACGTTGAATCAATAAATAAATACAACTGACACAATGAACCGTTTCCTTTTTTTGTGCTGATCACTTCTAACATGTATAATAATATAGTCCATATGACAATTCGGCGGTACATATACTAAAATAGGAACGATACAGAGAAGATTAGCATGGCACCTGAGCAAGGATGACACGCAAAATCGTGAAGTGTTCCATATTTTTTTTGCCCCCGAAATGCCCTGGTATGGCCGAGAGTGGGGAGAGTCCGCTCTTCCTCTCGAAATACTCTCACATGGCCACGCGTATACAGCCTCTGCCAGGAAAGTCCCATTTACTGCCTTCTCGTGACGAGGGTGTTGTTCACGAAAGTTAGAGGACGAAAAGCGAATGTCCGGTGCTTTACCGGGTTGATGGACACGGAAAGTCTACATAGGGGAGTTGTAAAACCACAATTCCAAACCAATGGTGCACATGGGCTGGCTCCAGTATCCTGATGGAACGATACAATAGATCTATTAATTAACTCAGTGTTATAAAAAATAAAAGCTAGATCAATTCGAACTTTCGAAACAGTCCTGTTCAAAGTTATTGCTTGAATTTTCGTTATATAATTCATATATACATAGATTATTGTATTTCTTTTTTTAATCCTCTTACTTGCAAGCATCTATGTAAACAGTTGTTACGTTTTATACCTTGTTTACGTTGTCATTACCTTACTACGAATCTATCGTACTTATCTTGATATATAGTCATGATTGTACTGTATACTGTTGTATGAATTACTTATCAATTCAAACTGTATAAATAAGTTTACTTGATCTCTTGTATTTTATTCTAAATATCAGGCTAGTGAGTGAGCAAGCATGAGAAACTGCATTTTGGATCAATATTCATTTAGTATTGAGTTTTCGGTTGTTATCGCACTATTAGCGTGTCATTGACATTAGACAGACAGTCTAGACGAACTAATCATTACTCTGACTAGATCAATACAACTGCTCTCTTGTATTACAGTACGATCATACGGGTTCAAAAAATAACACGTCAGCCGCATATCATAAACTGTCAAACCACCATCACCACTAGTCCCCTTTTATGTTTATTACTAACCTGTTCCATTCTTAATTTACACATTGATCTTTCTCAATTCACAATTACTTTGAGATTTTATTCATTAAGACTTACATTCACATGATTTTGTTACTATTATAATCATATCAATTAACCAAAAGCAATATTTCTCCCATTATGTATTGTTTTCATATGACTTAATTTGATGTAATGAAAGGAAACTGACATCTTATAACGAAATATTTCAAGAAACTGGAACTAAGAAAGAAGTTCAGATGTGAGAAATAAAAAATATGATGACCTGAATGGATGCAACGTAAATTGAAATGATGAGGACTATATTTCTATGAATTTTATTGAACATCAATCTTGAACCCAGGACCTACCAGTCTCGAGCCGAAGCCCTTAACCGATAGAATCTCGCGAGAGCGGGTTCGTGGATGCGCACTGCTGAGGAGTCCCATAATAGGACGAAACGGCCGTCCAGTGTTTCCAGGTTTTCCATGGTGGTCTAGCTTCAATTGACTCACGCTTTCAACTATGATAAATACTAAATCTCCACAAAACCCATTCTATAATTAATACATATCAATTGTCAAGGCACTTTATAGGAAAATTAATAAAAGCTAATTAAGCCACGACTATTAGTAAATGCTAACCCTTTTTATGCATACAAAAACAACTTGTTGTATTTTGAATTTGTTAAGTCGGTTTCCAAAGAACTCCAACAGAGCCTCCAGAGGCTCAAAAAGAGCTCCAACCAATCAGAGCACGACAGAACATTCTGGAGTTCCAACGTGGCACGCTATCATTGGTCAGTAGCAATTTATGTCGTTAAGTGGATTGGCTGAATTAGGATGTTGATTTAACTTAAGCAAACATCTATAAATACTTACGATTTTCTGTACAAAACTGAACCTTGCAATAAAGCATCTTCTCGTTACTCGTGTCTTCTCTCTGGTCTTCAAGTCGCTGAGTAGTGCTAGCCTGGGGTTATCAGAATAGCTTAGGATCTGAATAAGCGTTCAACCCACAAGACATATCAGTGGCGACGGGGAAAAACTACAAGACATATCACTGGCGACGAGAAAAAAAATGACAATGAGTATTTCTTTAGAGCAATTTGAAGCTTATATGGAGCGTCAAGAAAAACGGTTTGAACAGTCTCAAATCAGAGTCATGGAAGCTCTTATGCAGAAATTATGTATGTCTCAACAAAACTCTGCTGCTGGTGAATTTCAAGTATCTCATACTGACTCAGTTATTAACGCAATCCATGAATTTAATTTTGATGGTGCAGCAGGTGTCACTTTTAACTCTTGGTTTAAGAAGTATGAAGATTTGTTTCATATTGATCTCTGCAGACTGGATGACGCTTCAAAGGTCAGAATACTTCTAAGGAAGCTTGGGACAACAGAACATGAACGCTATAGTAACTTTATTCTCCCGAAGAACCCACGAGACTTTAGTTTTGATGAAACAATTCAAACCCTGTCTCAAATCTTTGGAGAACAGTCGTCTCTATTTAATATCCGTTACCAGTGCTTGAAGATAACGAAAGAATCAGGAGATGACTGGGTGAAACATGCAGGTATTGTGAACCGAGAATGCGAGAGGTTCAATTTGTCTTCCATGTCTGAAGACCAGTTTAAATGCTTAGTATTTGTCTGTAGCCTGCGTTCACCTGAGGATGCTGACATCCGAACGAGAATCCTAAGCAAACTTGAGCATTGTCCCAACATGACCCTGCAGGAAGTGACTAATGAATGTCAAAGGTTAGTGAATTTGAAGCACGATACCTCGATGGTAGAAAACACTAACCAGTTCCTCCACGTTAATGCTGTTGAGATGAAAGTCGAGCAAGGTTCCAGTACACAGAATTATCGAAATGACTGCGGTAAACCATCATCCCCATGCTGGTTATGCGGAGGTTGGCATTTCAAAAGGTTTTGTCCGTTTAAAAGTCATCGTTGTACTACGTGTTCCAGGAAAGGACACAAAGAAAGTCATTGCAAAACCCGTAAACGTCGTCAACCTAAAGTTTATTCTAAAAGATTCAAGCCACGCACAGTCAAGGTGACGGTAGCTGCTAACAGAATCGGCTCCCATAATCGTAGAAAGTATGTTTCCCTCAAGATTAACGGGTACGATGCCCGCTTACAGCTAGACACAGCCTCCGATATAACGCTTATAAGCAGGAGGACGTGGGAGAAAATTGGGAGGCCGAGAATATTTTCAACCTATCAGACAGCACACGGCGCATCTGGGGGGATTATAAACATTGCTGGTGAGGTTCACTGTAAAGTCACAGTCGCAGAGCTTACAAAGAAGGGAGTAATATTTTTAACAGAACGACCAGCACTCGACTTATTGGGACTTGATTGGATAGAAAAGTTGAAATTATTAGATCGTCCCATAAATTCAATCTGCAACAACGGCACTATGTCGAAAGTTGGGGACCCAACATTGTTTCGTGGGGGAGGTTGAAGTCAGCAAATGCAGTCTGGATACCTACCCCGCTTCTTCAAAAAAGGGGAGGTGTTAAGTCGGTTTCCAAAGAACTCCAACAGAGCCTCCAGAGGCTCAAAAAGAGCTCCAACCAATCAGAGCACGACAGAACATTCTGGAGTTCCAACGTGGCACGCTATCATTGGTCAGTAGCAATTTATGTCGTTAAGTGGATTGGCTGAATTAGGATGTTGATTTAACTTAAGCAAACATCTATAAATACTTACGATTTTCTGTACAAAACTGAACCTTGCAATAAAGCATCTTCTCGTTACTCGTGTCTTCTCTCTGGTCTTCAAGTCGCTGAGTAGTGCTAGCCTGGGGTTATCAGAATAGCTTAGGATCTGAATAAGCGTTCAACCCACAAGACATATCAGAATTCACCCTAGCAATCTTTATACCATTTTATTACTTACTTACTTACTTTCGCCTGTTACTCCCAATGGAGCATAGGCCGCCGACCAGCTTTCTCCAACCCACTCTGTCCTGGGCCTTCTTTTCTAGTTCTTTCCAGTTCTTGTTCATTCTTCTCATGTCTGTCTCTATTTCTCGGCGTAATGTGTTCTTTGGTCTTCCTCTTCTCCTTCGACCTTCAGGATTCCATGTGAGGGCTTGTCTTGTGACACAATTGGGTGATTTCCTCAAAGTGTGCCCAATCCACTTCCAGCGCTTCTTCCTGATTTCTTCCTCCGCTGGAATCTGGTTTGTTGTCTCCCACAGTAGGTTGTTGCTGATATTGTCTGGCAATCGGATCCGAAGTATCTTGCGTAGACAGCTGTTAATAAACACTTGTATCTTCTGGATAATGGCTTTCGCAGTTCTCCACGTCTCTGCCCCATACAGAAGAACTGTCTTCACATTTGTATTGAAAATTCTAACCTTGGTGTTGGTTGACAATTGTTTTGAGCTCCAGATGTTTTTCAGCTGTAGGTATGCTGCTCTTGCTTTGCCGATCCGCGCCCTCACATCTGCATTAGATCCACCGTGTTCATCAATGATGCTGCCCAGATATGTAAAGATTTCCACATCCTCCAAAGCTTCTCCGTCAAGTGTAATTTGATTGGTGCATATTGTATTGTATCGGAGAGTCTTGCTTTTCTCTTTGTTTATATTGAGACCTACTGCTGCTGAGGCTGCTGCTACACTGGTCGTTTTCTCCTGCATTTGTTGTTGCGTTTGTGATAGAAGAGCCAGATCATCCGCGAAGTCTAAATCGTCAAGCTGCATCCTGCCTGTCCACTGTATCCCGTGCATTCCTCCAGATGTTGACGTCTTCATAATCCAGTCGATCACCAGGAGAAAGAGAAAGGGTGAGAGTAGGCAACCTTGCCTAACACCGGTCTTTACCTCGAACGAGTCGGTGAGTTGTCCTCCGTGGACGATTTGGCAGTTTAGTCCATCATAGGAGTTCCGTATGATGTTGACTATCTTCTCAGGCACACCGTAGTGTCGAAGAAGCTTCCACAGTGTCGTCCTGTCCACGCTATCAAATGCCTTCTCGTAGTCGATGAAGTTGATGTACAGTGATGAATTCCATTCGATTGATTGTTCCACAATGATACGTAGAGTTGCGATTTGATCTGTGCACGATCTATCCTTACGAAATCCAGCTTGTTGATCTCGAAGTTGGGCGTCCACTGAATCCTTCATCCTGTTTAACAATACTCTGTTGAAGACTTTCCCTTGTATTGAGAGGAGAGTGATGCCCCTGTAGTTGTCGCACTTGCTCAGATCGCCTTTCTTTGGTATCTTGATGAGAAGTCCTTCTTTCCAGTCTGTTGGAACTCGTTCTTCGTCCCAAATCTTACCGAAGAGGATGTGGAGTATCTTGGCAGTTGCTGTTACATTTGCTTTCAGTGCCTCTGCCGGGATGTTGTCTGGTCCCGCTGCTTTGCCGCTCTTGATTTGTCTAATGGCCATGCTGATCTCTTCAATTGTTGGTGGGCCAATATCGATTGGGAGGTCTGTGGGTGCTGCTTCGATGTTGGGTGGGTTCAGTGGAGCTGGTCGATTCAAGAGTTCCTTGAAGTGTTCTACCCACCTGTTTCGTTGTTCTTCAATATCGTTGATTACTTTGCCTTCCTTGTTTTTCACTGGTCTTTCTGGTTGACGGTAATTTCCAGCAAGTTTCTTTGTTGTATCATACAGTTGTCTCATGTTTCCCTCTCTTGCAGCCTTTTCCGCTGTCATCGCTAAATCTTCCACATATTTACGTCGGTCGGTCCTGATGCTCCTCTTCACTTGCTTGTTTGCCTCTGTGTATTCGGCTTGTGTCTTGGCTTTTTCTGCTCTTGTTCGGCTGATATTGATTGCTACCTTCTTGTTCCTCCTTGCTTCAATTTTATCCAGTGTACCAACAGTGATCCATTCCTTGTGATGGTGCTTCTTTCGGCCCAGAACCACCTGACATGTTGAAACGATTGCCTCCTTGATACCTTTCCAGCTGCTCTCTATGGTGGTTCCCTCTCCATTGAGTAGGTCATGAAAGGCCTCCAACCTGTTGCTGAGGGCTATGTTGAATTTGTTGAGTTTGTCAGCATCTAGAAGAAAGGCCGTGTTAAACTTTTGTGATGTTGTCCGCGCCATTGTCCACTGCTTCTTGAGTTTTAGTTTCATCTTGGCGACCAGCAAATGGTGATCGGATGCTATATCAGCTCCTCTTCTGGTTCTCACATCCTCCATCGTCCTCCTGAACTTTTTGTTGATGCAGACATGGTCGATTTGATTTTGTGTAGTGTGATCCGGTGAAATCCAAGTGGCTTTGTGTATGTTTTTGTGTGGGAATATGGTGCCACCTATGACCAGTTTATTGAAGGCACATAGGTTTGCAAATCTCTCACCGTTTTCGTTCCTTCCTCCCAGTCCATATTGTCCCATGACGTCTTCGTATCCAGTGTTGTCCTTTCCAACCTTGGCATTGAAATCGCCCATTAGAATGGTCAGGTCCTTGGTTGGGCACTTCTCGAAGATTGACTGCAGCCTATCGTAGAATTGGTTTTTAGCGTCTTCATCGTAGTCGTTGGTAGGCGCATAGCATTGGATGATGTTCATTGTAATGCCCTCTCTTTGTTCTGAAGGAGGCTTTGATGATCCTCGGTCCATGAGATTCCCATCCTATAAGTGCATTTTGTGCTTTTCTAGACAGCATCAGTGCCACTCCTTGTGTATGTGGGGCATTTTCTTCTTCATGACCGGAGTATAACAGAAGTTCCCCTGAAGACAGTCGTTGTTGTCCAACCTGCGTCCAATGTGTTTCACTGATTCCAAGCACTTCCAGGTTGTATTTCCTCATTTCCGCAGAAATTTGGAAGACTCTGCCGGTCTCCCACATTGTCCGGACATTCCATGTACCTATAAAAATTGTCGCTCTGGTTGTAAGAAGGTGCATCGGCCTCATGACTTCCGAATGAACTCGGCTTTCATCATGAGACGTCATTTTTCCTTCTACTCCCAGGGCAGAGTTTGAATGGTTTGAATGATTTTTTCTGGTTAGCGTTTTTTTAGCGAGTTGATTTTCTACGGGATGGGGTCACTAACCCCATGCCCAACCCTCCTCCTTTACCCGGGCTTGGGACCGGCAGTAGCCCCTGGAGGAGCTACAGGCGGAGTTTTATACCATTTTATAGCCTAGGGTAATTTACAAACTCTCTTTTTTTTTCTACATTATGTTGATGTTTTGTCATTTAATTGTAATGATCACTTGGTTTATTTGAACTTCTATTCAACCGACCCTCATTAGTTTTCACGTATAAATGATACGATAAGTAAATGTGTGACCAGCCTCCGAAATGTATAACATAAATATATCAGAATTTCTACATGAACTCCTCAGTATTCTATCAAAAATTATAAAAAAAGGATTAACTGCTTTAAACTACCTAATATATGATGGACGGTTCCTAACCAAATACATGAACGAGAAAGTATATTAGATTACCGAATAAAATACACAAATACCCATTTGTATATATACATCACTACCCCTTAGAAAATCAATCCATTTCTCAGCCAATGATATCGATTTTTCCTTCAGGTCACTTGTGGTTGCAATAGGTTGACCTTTGCATATGTCTACTTCTGATTGACTTACCATAACCAAATACCTTCATTATATGGTATCCACATTTTCTCATCCCCTCCCCCACCTCGGGGTCAACATATAGGATTATCTAAAAACTATAACGCATTACTTATTAAGATGAATAAATGTACAGTTTTATGGTATGAGACTACAGTTATATATGTCCATTAAACAAAACTCACATGAGATTTATGTATTGTACCATTATTACTAGTGATTAACCAGTTTTATATTGTAAAATTTCTGTTCTGTACTTTTTCAGACTACCGTAAACTAATTGTTGTCTTATCGATTTGATGCACTTTCCATGTGTCTAAGCTAACTGAAAGGATCAATTTGGTGATTATGTCGGTGCAGAAGGTAGTAAGTTTATTACAAAGATACTAGTCCTAGCTTTTTTGTGTAAATAAAAATGTAATTATGATCAACTTATCAGTCAAGATAAGTTGTACAATAAAATGTAATACGATATCTTTACTAGAAGTACCATGTGTAGATAATCATCCCTTTTTCAATCTTCAATAAATCAAATACCTAACATTTTCAAGTACCATAATTTTCACAGAGGATTTCATTTTAATCATCTAAAGCTAACTATATATGTCTTCCGCAAACATGCTAGAGTGGTGCATTTCAAATTGCTGGATGAAAATAAATAAATAAAGGCCTTGAAATGAAATCACTAATGGAAATTATGCTCTTGTTGACAGTAAACCACTCAATCATAGAAAGGTAAAATGTCCATAAACACTTGGCACTATACATACTGAAAGTCGGGAAACGGATACGAAACCAATTCAAACCAATCCAAACTCGAAATAAAAAATAGTGCGATAAATATTGATTATTGCCATTAAAGATTAGGAAGCCCTTTGTTTACTTACCAGTAGTCCCAAATTTACGAAACTATATAATATGCATGACAATAATATGAATTAATTAATTGAATTAATTGAATTTAAATTACCTGGATCAACTTTGTTGATATCACTGACAGGAAAAGAATCTCCGACAACTGTTGGAGTGAGCATGGACTCATTCGATGGCAAACTGAATTTACGACTAGCATACAACGAACTGCTGTCAATATTCAGTACAGTTTCATTATTATTAGTATTATTGTTTATATTATTTACAGTAGGAGAGTAACGATTTTGAAATTTACGTGCAGCAGCTTTCTTAAGTTCATTCAAATTTGTATAAACTGGTGAAGGTATAGCTTGATTTGGATATAAGGTTTGTGCTTGATGTGCTGAAATTTAAGATATATACACACTACTATTATTACTACAACCACTACTCACATTTATATAAGTAGTTTTTAAAGGTAAAAATCTAAACAGAAAAGTTTACAATGTACTCAAATCAACATCTTAAACACGTAAACACACTTGCATTAAGGTATAATATTCACAATAGTAGAAATGAAGGCTAGTCTTATGTATTTAATTAAGGCTACTCAATTAATTTATCGGTAGTATGATTCTGTTCCTTAAAATTTCCACGGCTAAACGATTTGAAATAAAATAATGAAATGAAATATGATAAATGTGAAATCATGTCGTTGCCAGGAGCGAAAAATGTTGATTTTGAGTCAAAATGTCAACATCAATACTATGTTACAGCTAATAAGTGGTAAAATAGGACGAAGCGTTAGCCCTCAGTTCTATTTATGATCACAATATCCTATACCATAAAACTTGTGAAATTAATTAGAAAACTAGAATATCCTCATATGGTAAGCAAAATAGCCTAAGCGCATTATGGAACTGCTATAAAAAGTGCAAAAGTCGAAAAGATTGCCAAATAATGTTAAAATACACCTTTTAAAAGATTGAAGCAATTGAAGATTCGAGTGAACACACTTTTCACTAACTTCAATGTGAAATTTCTGTAGTTCTAGAGAGGAACTGCGACTACTGGAGTTCAAATATATCGTGTGTGACAGTTATACATGAAAATAATGCGCAGATGGTCATGCATATTCTTTTGAATTGATTGACGTTAGGAATTAACACCGCAGGATACCGTCTTAGTAACCTAGAAGTTGAATGTTTACGTCTAAGAGTGAGTCCGATCTCCTGACCTGGCGTTGAGAATGAGCACTGCTAAAGGGTGTCATAACGCGACGAAAAAACTGCTCATATCTACGACGAAACGGTCACTCAATACTTTCAGGTTTCCAATAGTGGTATATCTAAGATCACTTTGTGATCTAAAATACAGATAAATTAAAAGCAATTAGTTGTGCAAGAGCAAAATTTCAAAAAGTAGGTAAAGACTTACATTTATCAAGATGGGTTTTATCACTATGATCTAATTTCTCATCATCTGTTTCACCATCCTCCGTATCTTCAGTAGTTGTGCCACCAGCACCACCGCCACTATCATCAGCATCAGCTTCAACGCTGATATCAACATTACTTGTTCCTCTCTCATGAGTAACACCTCGACCATTATCATTTTCACTATTGTTAGAATTTTCAGGTGGAAAACAGAACACGGCGTTATCGTGAGTTGATTTGCTAATAGTTTTTTGACGTTCATTTACATTCATATTTTTATTACTTAGACCAGGTAATGGAATCCAATCTGGTTGATAAAGAAAAATACAAAAGTAAATGGAAAATGGGACAGCTAAAGTGTATATTGAATAAACACACTACTCATAAGTAACCCTTAATATATTGTACAATTTCTTTGATCACGCAATTGTGACCGATTCTGAATTATGTCACTCAATGTCTCCTTCCAACCACCGGTTACAATGATCTCAGGAACTTTCAACCAAGTAGCCTGTAACTACTAACACAGATTACATCAACATTTACCGGCTTCATGAGCTGATGCTTTGGCTGACTCTATCTTTCGCCCAACCTGCTGTTTACATTGGATAACTTCGAGTTTCGAACCAAATTAGAGATGTACTGAAATTTGATGCACAACGATATTAAAGTTCAATGAATAGAAGTGTTGGACCTTTTCAAACGTTTGAAAACAGATAAAAAGACAAGAAATTCTTAATTCCTTATGAGATTTTTATTTCTAATCAACATATCGACACCTAATGTAATGGATATGTATTGGTCGTACGTAGTTGAATGATCTTTAAGATTCACTGAAATCAATAAGCTAAACTGTCATTATTGAATCGTTTGCTTGTTTATTCCAACAGTCAAACGGGACGATAACTAAGTAATTTATCTGATAATTATCAATCATTAAACACAAATGAACTTAAACAGTGAACTATTCACTATTCTCATAATTCAACAACAATATTTCTAACTCCTATAGTGTTCAAACATAGAATCTGACCATTTTTAAATTTGTTGTAAAGATTTCTTTTGAAACGTTTAAAGCAATCAGAGGGGGTTTTGTGGAGAATTAAGTATTTTCATAGTTGAAATCATGGGTCAATTGAAGCTAGACCACCATCGGAAACCTGGAAGCACTGGACGGCCTCTTCGTCCTATTATGGGACTCCTCGGCAGTGCGCATCAACGATCCCGCACTAACGAGATTCGAACCCAGGACCTACCAGTCTCGAGCCGGAGCCCTTAACCGATAGACCACTGAGCCGGGGTAGTGGATGCGCACTGCTGAGGAGTCCCATGATAGGACGAAACGGCCGTCCAGTGCTTCCAGGTTTTCGAGGGTGGTCTAGCTTCAATAGACTCATGATTTCAACTATGAAAAAATATTTAAAGGAACTCATAATAAACTTGCGTTTGACAATAAGTACATCTATTCCAATTTACAGACAATTAGAAGATGCTGCTAATACAAAACGGGACCTATGGGAATTGGATAATTAAAACGATCAATATTATAAAATATTCCAAGAATGATCTTTAAAGGGAAAGACGACAGAAAAATTTAGTAACTTGGGGAAACGATTGATATCAAAAAAAGGTCAAACTTTTAATATGATCTTAAGGCAGATTATATATATATATATATATATATATATATATTATCACTGATTGTTTTCGGTTTATCGATTAAGTCTTGTTGAAATAGAGCCTGCCAATTCAAGGCGGTATAATTTTTTTCTCAGATCATATGTTTGTATTATTAATGTCTGTATATAAAGTACTTCGTGTTGTGTCTACTGAAATGAAGCAAAATAGCAACCATCAAGTTCGACAGACAGAGAAATTATTTGGACATACATATGTACATGTAAGGTTAAATTACGTGAACACTAAATATGAATAAAAATGTGGGAAATAATACCAGTTAAGTAATAGTTACAACATGGCAGAATATACAGCGGATCATTATTACTACTGTTATGGTTATTGGTGGCAGTATTTTATGTTAAATCCAGGGTTTCAAATATTATGTCAACAAAATCAGGAGGCTACACAATCCCGCTTGACAAAAATTGAAAATAACAATAATGGAGACAATAATACAAATGGTAAGCACTCAGCACATTAATAAAGCTACACACGTACACACCACCAGCTATTAGTTTATACTTACTACACATCACAACAGGAAAGTATTGTGTATACTACTAGTAGTACTTCTACTACTAACAATAATAATACGAATCGAATACTAATTAATAAAAGATAACTTCTCAGCAATAAGTACCAGTAACTAAGTGAAACTTAACTAGGGATAAACATAAAAGGAAATATAAAACTATGAGGAAAATACGATGACTTTAGCAGATTACGTGAAAATTTATGCTTACCTCTTCACATACAATCTGACCAATAATAACAGTTTGAGGATTCAAATTGAATTAAAGCATATAACTCACTTAACTATAAATAACACATTGGGAGAAATCGAAAGAGATATCAAAAAGATGAATAATAACAGTAAAGAACTGGAAAGGATTGCCCAGGACAGGGTTGGATGAAGAATGCTGGTAGGCGGCCTATGTTCGTCGACGATGGGTAACAGGCGGAAGGAAGGAAGCATAAAACTAACAAATGGCAAATACAAACTTTTATATATTATGTGTGAATATATAAATTTTTTACATTTTGGTTTTACTACTGTTATTGTATATCTGTCAATTTCAGCATGAAAATAAACTGATCATAAATGGTAATTGAATTTTAAGTCTTTTTTTATAGGGAAGTCCCAATTCTAGGATACATTTATTTGATTTAATATACTTTGGAATGTCCTATCTAAGCTTTTTGGTACTTTAACTGAATGCACACACACAAAGCGAGAGCAAGAGAGAGATGAAAGTCGGCTAACTTGAAACTAACGACTACATGTAAACAGTTGGTATGCTTAAACAAAAAAATGACTGAATTTTATTAACCAAGTATCGATAGCAGACTTTTTAACTGTCATTTTAATATTAGGACGAAATTCTAACAATAGGAAACAGAAGATAATCATACTTTATTGCTTATCAATCTATAGATTTCTTTTAATCTTAGTCACAAACAAAAAAATGAACATTGACCCATTAATGCGTCGTGATTTAGTCTGTGCACTGCCGATCTTCAAGCTAGATGTCTGCCGAATCTTTCATCCGGTTCAGCAACACACTGTCGGGAACTTTTCCTTATACCACCGATAGTAGTGTAATGCCTACTTATATATAATCACCTAATGCCCAATGTTAACTAAATTTTATATAACCAATTTGTAATGTGACCACTAGTTTGTAAGCTCGAATACTGCAATAGGTATTTTTATTTAATATTCAGTGGCTTCAGTAGGTAACCTTAGTTTGTAGGTAAAATGCTAGTAAAGCGCATATCTAACTGGTAAAAAAAGCTGATTGGAGTTAAGGATGACAAAACATGATATTTACTACTCAATAATCAGTTAGTAGGTGGATGAATCGCTCTTAAAGAGGTGACTTAAAGTGTGTTGTGTGCTATTTATATGGGCAGACAGAGGTAGTAAGTAGCATGATAATAATTTGTATATTTTTGTGTTGTTATCAACATGTCCATAGGCCTATTCACGTATTAACCCTATACACATCCCTCTTACTAGTTACTTGAATCGCTCGATAACTCATTTGCTTTCCTATATTCACGTCCTTGAATTTTATAAAATTTACTCAACTCTTTATTTGACTGCTAATTTGCTCGCTCACATTAGCACTTCTGCTAGAATACGCTTTGTGTGCTTGTTAGTAATAAACCGTGCTCGACGCTTTGTATTGTCCTCTGAAATGTATACACTGTTGGGATTCAATTAATAACGTTTATCAGAATGATTGATATATATAAAAACTAAAGAACTATCTCAAAGATAAATCACGACAAGGTCATATTTAATAATATGAAGTTTGATTTAAAGTTAAGGGGATTATAAATATAACTCTTTTACAACTAGATTGATTTAACCTTCGCACACACACACACACAAAATATAATTAATATCCTCCTGTTTCCATAATCAAGAACTACCTATTATTACTAGTTCAATTGACTAAGTCAAGTAGAAAAAGGTTTTTCATAACATGAAACATTATTTAGTAAATATATAATGAAAATCAATAGAGAAGAATAGAAAATAAAAATAAATAATGTACCCTTGTAATATTTGGATTTTACCTTTTTTAATTGTTATGTATAACCAACCTATAAAATTGTCAAACTAGTTTACTCATTTGGGAGAGAAATAGAGTTGTTAGGTCAGTAGTAGTAATTTTTTAGTCAATTATAATTAAATGACAGTGGTACAAATATGCGTTAGTTCAAATTTTCATTACTAAATTAACTGAATGAGATAAAATGAATAAGATGAGTAGAAAATGAGTTGAAACACTGCATCAACAATGATAATGAGGGAGATTAAGTAGTGCGAATATTAATTATACGAATATTCTTCAAGGTTAGAACGAATAGTTTGACAATAATTGGGCGCCGAGTATAGAGAATTCATTATTATTTTTTTCACATATAATGAAGTGAGAATATCATTCCAGAAGATAGAGTTCAAAGAAATGACCACGTATTAAAACAATAGGCATGAATACTAGATAAATATGATCACTGAAAATTAAAGTACTAAGACGATTGTTTTCTCTTAGTGCACGACTCCTAAAAGTTGTAAATATGAATCATGGGATATCAGATTACTACTTTAAGGGAAAAGTGCATGCTGTGAGTGCCAAAATTCCTAAATTTACATCTTCTCTGTCTGATGCATTATCAGTGAGCAATCCAGGTTGCGACTGTGCTTATGTAAGAATAAGATATTTACAACTGACTGACCACCGAGTAAAGACCAATGAAATGTTTATCTAGTTCTAACATCTCAGCATTATATACATGATGTTGAGTCACTTAGACTAGTAGCCACATTACAAATTGATCGATAGAATTCAATCAGCACTAGCGGACTGGATACGCATAATATTGGTCACCACCACCACTACTAATACTACTACTACTACTACACAGCGATCAATGAAGTGTGAATAATAGAAAATCCTATTTGTTTTACCATTAATCAAGAAGAATATGGTTTAAGTATTTAAGTAAATATCACAACAGCAAGAATGAACTGCAGGGAAGTACTTTGTCTATTTGGCTCGGTAAAAAAATCGTCGACAAATAAGAATACATGTTTACATTATGTGAAAACAATTG